GGAAGTATCTTGGAAAAAAAACAAACATATTTTATGAAACTTCCCACGATCTACAACGAATATATACCATATATATATATATATATATATATATATATATATATATATGGTATATATTCGTTGTAGATCGTGGGAAGTTTCATAAAATATGTTTGTTTTTTTTCCAAGATACTTCCGTGAAGTGGAGCCTGGGGAAATTGTGGAAATATCTAAACAAGGTGTTCAAACTCTTGATAAGATAACAAGATCTGAAGGAAACCCAGTGGCTTTTTGTATCTTTGAATATGTTTATTTTGCAAGACCAGATAGTATATTTGAAAGTGAGTTTCTTTTCTTTGGCCATCATCTAAATCTCATGCCATTAAAAAAAGCAGCTTGTTGGTCAGAGGTTTAATCTGGCTCTTGGAAGGCACATGGTATGCTGCGAATGTGTTGCTGAGCGCACAAATCATACGGTCGCTGTTTTCCCTTCTTTTCAGCTCTTAGATTTTGGTTTTTCTTTCAGTAATAAAGATTATACTTTTCAAATATATATTAATGTCAAATTTTATAAATACATATTTTAATCTCCCCTTTGTGTTTTTCTACTTTATTGTTTTATATACATTGTCTCTCCTTTCCTATTAAATTTGTAGAATTCTAGCACCAGCTTTTTAGAGTAGCAATATCACACCAAGTAAAATAATCTGTTTTCTTTTCCAAACTTTATTCCAGACCAAATGGTTTATCAAGTAAGATACAGCTGTGGTCAGCAGTTGGCTGTTGAAGCACCTGTGGATGCAGACTTGGTTAGCACAGTTCCAGAATCAGCTACACCTGCTGCTCTTGGGTATGCAACAAAGGTATTTACTCTTAATTAATATTCCATGAATTGTTTTTCTAACAATGAAATAGGGGAACACATCAACTTACTATAAGAAGGAAAGGTTTAGGGGTTTAATGTTAGTTCCTCTGTAATAATTATCAGCCTTTTCATTCAGTGACAGTGGCTCTTTTAGCAAAGATCACAAAAAGAGGGCTGGAGAGATGGCTCAATGGGTAAAGGCTCCTGCCACCCAGCCTGATCACCTGAATTTGATTCCTAGAACCCACATGGTAGAAGGAGAGAACTGACTCCTGCAAATTGCCCTCTGACCTGCACACAGGCACTTTGGCATACACCCCACCCCCCAATTCCTGCAGTTTGTCCTTTGACATCCACAGAAGCACTATAGCATGCATGTTCTCACATACAAAATAAATAAATGCAGTTTTTTTTAAAATCATGCTTCACCCAGAAGACTAGAATATTGAATGTTGGCCCTAATTCTTTGTTTTATTTTGTTTATTGACTTTAATTTTTATTTTATTTTGAATATTGTTTTTATTTTATGTGTATGAGTATTGTATCACCTGTATATATATTAGTGCACTTGTGCAATGCTCACAGAGGTCAGAAGAGGGTGTTGGATCCCCTGGAACTGGATTTACAAACAGTTGTTAGCCGCCATGTGGGTACTGGGAATCTCTCCAACCCTTACTTTATTTATTTTATTTTATTTTTTATTTTAGTCTCACTGTGTAGCTCCAGCTGGTCTGGAACTCCCAATGTGGCTGGCCACAAACTCAGAGATCCACCTGCCTCTGCCTTTCAAGTGCTGGGATTAAAGTTGTGTGCCACCCCATTAATCACACCCGCAAGCCTGTTTTTCCTTATTCTGACTTTTCACACAGCTTCTAGTCTGGCATCTTACTTGGAAGTCTGTGGTCTTCGTCTTTAAATAAAAAAAAGGAGCTGGTTGTGGTAGCCATGGCCTGTAATCCCAGTCTTGGAGAAGCTGAAGCAGAAGTATCACTGTCAATTGGAGGCTAGCCTAGGCTGCATAGTGAGACCTTGTCTCTATAATTTTTATTTACTATTTTTATTTTATGTGTATGAGTGTTTTTGCTGCATGTATGTTAAGTGTACCCATGTCATACAAAGCCTGCGGAAGCCAGAAAGGGGTATCCTATCCCCTGAAACTGGAGTTATGGATGGTCATTAGCCACCATGTGAGTGCTGGGAACCAAACCCATGTCCTCTGCAAGAGTAGCCAGTGCTTTTAACCCCTGAGCCATCTCTCCAACCTTGACCCTGTCTGGATAAAAACAGGATGGTATCATAAATATATAGAGAGTTTAGTGGTAGTACAGTTGAATGTCTCTAATCACAAATTCAAAATGCTTCAAAATCCAGAGTTTTGGAGCCATGAAATGCCTCATTGAGTAGACTCTTACCACCAAACCTGATGGCCTGAGTTCGATTCTTAGGACCCACATGGTGGAAGGAGAAAACTGACTACCACTAGTCATTCTCTAACTTCCACATGCATGTTGTGGCACATACAATAATTAATTAAAATATGCAAAATTTTTGAGTATCAACCTAGAACTTGAAGCAGAAGGTTATATGATGGGTCCCTATGAAAACAGATGTGCATTAAAAATATTGCACAGAGTACCTTCAGGTTTTATGTGTAAGGTGCATATGCAACAGATGAATTTCATGCTTAGCCTTGGCTGCCATGCCTGAGATGTCCACTGAATATGCAAATATTGTAAAACCTGAAAAGCATCTGAAATACGGAAAACTGTCCTGTCCTCAAGTGTTTCAGGTAAAGGGTATTAACCTGTATTGAAAAAAATCCTTCTTCACGTAACCTTACAAGCTTCTGCTATACCCATTCCCTGCTAGGTATAAATGATAATAACACTGTTTATGTTTGCCTTCTGTAATATTCTTAGTGCTCTGTTTAATTTCACTTGTCATAATCTGGTGATTGTATCACTATAGTGACCTAGGGTGTAATATCCAATAGCTACCATCTTTGATAGAGTATCAGTTACCTGTCCACTTCTTTAATGAAATGCCCTGATACTGTGTAACTGTAAAGTTTAGCTCATAGTTCTGGAGGTTAAAGTGTTTGATGATGACGTCTACTCAGCTCTCTTGAAGGACTCATAGAAGATGGCATCTCAGAAGAATGCATACAGGAGACAGGCCATATTTCTGGATAGTAAGGCAGTCAAAATTTCAGGGGTCAGGTTCAGGCTTTTATAGTAACTTCTTACAAGACCTAATCCAGAGTCCAAATAAAAACTACTTTAATCTTTTCTGAGGACAGGATCTCCTACCTCTGAAAGCTTCTACACTATAGCAATACTGCCGCACAAGGACCAAATCACCAACACAGGAACGATAACAGATAGCTTAGTTAATTAGCTTCTAAAGTAAATAATATGCTTGTGTTTTAGAGATAGTTACCTTGAGAAGTGAATAAATACCTCCTGTCCGTAAAAGGCATCTCCTTAGCCTACTGGGTTTAATTAATTTATTATGCCAGTAACTTAAATACATGGATTTTTCTGACAGGGACTTATGTTTATCTTTATGTGCCTAGTATTCTTCACCAAGATGGAGTAATAATAATATGTAAGAGACACTTTTGTATACCACTACTCATTGTGCATTTGTTTCTTCTCTGTCAGTGTAAACTTCCATATGTGGAAGTGTTATGTAAAAACCGGTATGTCGGAAGAACCTTCATTCAGCCAAACATGAGGTTAAGACAACTTGGTGTTGCAAAAAAATTTGGAGTGTTGTCTGACAACTTTAAAGGAAAAAGAATTGTTCTTATAGATGATTCAATTGTGAGAGGCAATACTATCTCACCCATAATAAAATTGTTAAAAGAATCTGGTGCAAAAGAGGTAAGTAATGTTAAAACACATGCTATAGCCTCAATAATTAGCCATATGATATTGGCATAAAAACAGCTGTACAGTGAATCCAGTTCAATATGATAAACAAACTAACTTTTCCTATCAGGTTGTTTTATAAAATCTATGTAGCAACTTGGAGAGCATGTACTGACTAGTGTTACACTATATACTGAATTTAATCTTTAATAGATTAAAAGGCTAAATGTAGGCCAGGCAAGGTGGCATATGGCTTTAGCCTTAGCACTCAGGAGGCAGAGGCAGGTGATCTCAGTGAGGTTGAGGCCAGCCTGGTCTATATAATGAGTTCCAGGCTATCTGAGGCTAAATAAAGACACTATCTCAAAAAAAAAACCTAAACCAAAAAAAGATGAAGACTACTGGTTACTTTCTCTATTTGAAGGCATAGAATCAGTTCCTAATATAATAAATTTAACCATTGAAGTTGTGTTTCTATTACTTTATCTCCTGAAAAACAACTTTCTAAAATTGGCGAGCATATTTGTGATACGTGATGTGCTGTGATGTGTGGTGTAGGCATATCTTATTTCACGTTCGTCACTTTGTTGGCCTTCAGATGCTGTGATTTTTTTTTTTTTCTTTTTTTTTTTTTACAAATCAGATTTTCAGCAGCTTTATGTAGCGTTATCCCACTGATGCCATTTTCTGACAGCATGTGCCTCTTTCATGTCTCTTTGTCATAGTTTTCTAATTTCTGAAAATTTTTGTTTTTTTTTTTTTTTTTTTTTACGATCTTGATCACTGCTCTTTGGTATTATAATTGTTTTAGGTGTAAGTGTGGTTTTTAAAATCAAGTGCCACTATGCCCAGCTAAGATCCATGCTGTTTTAATGCCTACTAACACAATATCCATTTTGGAACCCTTAGACCAAGAAATAATTTCAGACCATATTTATTTTTTTAAAAAATATTTTATTTATGCCGGGCGCGGTGGCGCACACCTTTAATCCCAGCACTTGGGAGGCAGAGGCAGGTGGATCTCTGTGAGTTCAAGGCCAGCCTGGTCTACATAGTGAGTTCCAGGACAGCTGGGGCTACAGGGATGCACCCATGTTTGCAATGCCCTCAGAAGACAGAATAGGCTGTCGGATCCCCTGGAGCAGGAGTTACAGACAGTTGTTAGCAGCCATGTGGGTGCTGGGATTCGAACCAGGGTCTTCTGCAAGAACAGTCAGTGTTCTTAACCACTGACCATATTTATTTGAGAAATACATCCATTAAGGCTATCAACTGCCATCGATAATAATTCCTTGGTGGGTCTGAGCAAAATAAACGGAAAACTTTCAAGAGAGGATTCAAGGGGTCAGCAAGATGCCTCGGTAAAGGTGCTTGCTTCTAAGTCTGATCTAAGTTCGATACCTAGGATGCACATTGTAGAAGGAGAGAAATAAGTCCCTCAAGTTTCCTCTGACCTCCATATACACACTGTGGTACACATACATGCACCTACACATATAAATAAAGTAAATATGATTAAAAAATTAAAAGAGGATTCAACATTGTAGATAACTTTAAGAACATTTGTGAGCTGTACTTCATGGCACAGAATTAAGGTTATACATTGTTCTTTTAAGCAGTATGTTTCTGTGCATTTAATAGACAGCTATATAGTAAAACATCTACATGGTTTGAAGAAACCAGAAAAATTCTGTTACTCAGTTTATTGCAGTATTTACTTTATTGTGGTAATTTAAAACCAAACTTAGAATATCTCCAAGGTATGCTTTTATTAAGTTAATTATTTTTCTATTTCAAAGCTTATTCTAACTAAACATTCAGTTCAAACTACAGAAGCAAGAGGCCATTTAATAGTTGAATTTTTTTTAAAAACAGGAGAGAAAATGAAGTGGAAAGCAATAAAGATGGTCTACATTTCAAAGATAATTTCAGCCTTTTTATGACTGTTTATGATAACCTCACTGGAAAATTCTATGAAAATTATATAGTAGAAACAGAGACAGAAAATGAATTCAGCCTCTGTTGCAGTAATAAAAAACAGATAACCAAATAACTAAGTTTAAAGCAGAAAATAAACGTAACACTAGGAACGGACGTGGTGGTGCATACTTGTAATCCTGGCACTTGGGAGGCAGAGGTAGGAAGATCTCTGACTTCGAGGCCAGCCTGGTCTATGTAGGAAGTTCCAGGTCAGCTGAGGCTACAAGGAGACCCTGACTCAAAAAAGACAAAGAAAGTGGGAATGTAAAATCATTAAATGGAAAATAGAAGATAGAAAAATCTGTTTTTCCTGTGTCTAACAAATGACACAGGAAAAGTTCACCTATGCAATGAAATGAATCCTATAGTTTACCTTATTAATTAATCTTACTCGGTTTACAAAATGATTTCTTTTCCTAGGTGCACATTCGAGTAGCTTCACCGCCAATAAAATATCCATGTTTCATGGGAATAAACATTCCCACAAAAGAAGAGCTGATAGCCAATAAACCAGAGTTTGGACGTCTTGCAGAATACCTTGGTAGGTGTTAAATTTTCTGTAATTTTAATTGTTTTTTTGTTTGTTTGTTTAAAATTTTTTTAATATGAAGGAGCAAATCATTGGAAGATCAAATTTTAAGGTCTGGGGATATGGCTCAGCAATTAAAGCTCTTGGCACACAACTTAGTCTGTACATGCTGGGTGGGGGTTGCACCCCTATAATTCCAGAGCCCAGAAAGTGGAGACAGGATACCCAGAACAGGGGCCTGAGAGATGGCTAAGTGTTTAAGAGCGCTGGCTGCTCTTGCAGAGGACTTGGGTTCAGTTCCCAGATCTAAGGAAAATTTCTGTCCTGACTTAAATTATGCTATTTGTAGCTTTGTGGTGTTGAAACATGTTTTCCTATCTAGAGAAAAATCTCATGACTTTTTCATTTCTCCTTTTTTCATATAGGAGCAAACAGTGTTGTGTATCTGTCGGTAGAAGGACTGGTTTCATCTGTACAACAAGGGATAAAATTTAAGAAACAGAAAGTGAAAAAACATGATATCACAATTCAAGAAAATGGAAATGGTCTGGAATGCTTTGAAAAGACTGGACACTGTACAGCTTGTCTCACTGGACAGTACCCTGTGGAACTAGAATGGTAGCTGGTGGAACAGTTGTGCTTCAAGATGGAAAATTAAGAAGTGGTTACAGATTGTCTGTTTTTTTAATTGGTACAAAATAAAGTATAATACCACATACTTATGTTTATGTTTATAAATTTTGAGATTTTCCTGAAAAGGGTCCTAAAGTGCTACAATTGACCCATGCTAATTGAGTGTAATACAGCATGTGGGATTCTTTTTATACAAGCGTTGACTTCTTTCACCTAGGCAGAGAAGGCAGATAAATGGGTAGTGGTATTTGCCAATCCCATTGCTTACAGGGTTTGCAAGAGATTTTTTTATGGAGGTGTGATGCACACAGGACAGGGGAGTTAAGTATAAAATTTCATGAAAAGTTTGAATTCATTGTGCCCTGTAAATATCTTGTCTGTAGTTAAGTCAGTAATTCTGGCTTTGACCTTAGGAAACACCTTTCTCTCTCTCCTCTCCTCCCCTCCCCAAACCCCCCTCTCTCCTCTCTCTCTCTCAATGCAAGGGACCAGTAAACCACTCTTAAAGAAAAAAAATGAAAAACTACTTGGGAAGCAAGGGCAGGAGAATCTTGAGGGCAAGTCCAGTCTGGGTTACTCTGCCTCAAGGTAAAATGTCTCTTTCTTTGCCTTAGAATCCTTCTAATAATGAATACATACTAGGATGTGAATAAGTGCTGGGTGGGTCTTGCCCCTAAATTTTAAAGTAATATATGATTATTAGCTTTTGAGAAGCTAATGTTATCCTTAATTTGATTAAATTTGTGCTTTTTGTTGTTGATACTCTTTTTGAGACAGGGTCTCAAAAAGCTGTAGCCCCAGCTGCCCTGGAATTCACTATGTATGCTGACCTTGAACTTACAGAGATCCAACTGCTTCTGCCTCCCATCTGCTGGGATTAAAGGCATGGGCCGCCACACTCAGCTTAAATTTTTGCTTTTTAAATTGAGTGCTTGATCATTTATGATCATGTATATTTGTATATGTATATATAAATATGATTGAAATTAAGTGATTAAATAGCATAATAAGGGCCAATTTTGTTTAAAGATCAAGGAGACAACTCCTTGGGAATTAGAATGCCTGTATTTAAGCATCAACTCATTGTATAATCACTTTTCTGCTTTGTTAGGGTCTAATGAGTTCTTAATTCTTGTGATGCAGATTTAGAGGATTGAGGTGATTTGTTTAATAATGCCTGTTTATGTAAGATTTTAACATGGCAAAAGTAATTAGTTCTGTGTTGCCAAACTTTGCTATATAGTTTCCAAACCCTTTTAGAAATATTTATTAACTGAATTTGGTTCATCTGTATTTGGTATGTAGTCTTGTGTGTTATGCGAAATGGTAGATTAAGATAAAATGTTGTTAGTACTTGAAGATCATGTCCTGCAGTGGCTCAGGCAACCCTCTGTCACAGACACAGGCAAATTGGCATTTCACAGTCCTGGGACAATTTCAATGGGTGCAACTTCATATGTTAAATGCATTACCCATGGCAGTGAGCATGGAGGAGGGAGGTAAGACCTGTGGGGGTCAGTTTTGAAATGGCCTTATTTAAATTTGATGTTTTAAAAAAGAAACTCAGGGAAGGTGCAAAACCAAATTCTCTAATTGGGCTTTTATGTTTTCCATAATTTTTGTTTTGTTGGGATGCTTTTATAAAGGAAAGTAATACTGTGACAGTTTGATAAAATTGTATAACTTTATTTCTCCACCATGACCTTTTATTTCATGAGTTTCTGAATACAAATTAAATTAACATTTTTTTACCAGCTTCAAGTGTTTTTTTAAATGTTTTCAAATATTTTAAAATTTTTATAAGTAGATTATTGTAGGCTGAAAAAATAAAAAATGGATTTGCATACAGTTTAACATCAATTTTTTTTTATTATTACTTTTATTTTATGTGTATGCGTGTATTGCCTACATGTAGGTAAGTGCACCTGTGTTGTGCAGTGCCCACGGAGGTCAGAAGAGGCTGTTGGATCCCCTGGAACTGGAGTTATGGACAGTTGTTAGCTGCCATGTGGGTGCTGAGATTCGAACCCGGGTCTTCTGCGAGAACAACCAGTGTTCTCAACCACTGAGCCATCTCCAGCCCCACATCAATCTGTTTCTACTTCTTTGTGATCTCTTGGTGGCAAATATATTAATGGGTTTACATGTGTGCTTTTTAAAAATAGTGATGGTTAGTATATTATTGAGAACAACATGAAGCAGCATTCTGTACTTGACCTTAGCTAGTCAGATCTTATTTCTCTGATTCAGGCATTTCAATAAATAGGCCATCTCTTATGAGCTGGGCAAACTTCTGAGTAGGAGGGAGGCAAAGTAATTACAGAATAGAAGGCTAAGTAAGCACTCTTGTAGAACAAGTTCTTTGAAAACACTAGGGGGAATAAGGGACAGTTAGATTTTCAAAGTGTTGAAAGGGCTTCTAAAATCAATAAAATAAGCAAGTTGATAACTAGTATATCTGAATAGTGGAATACCATTCAGTGTCAAGGTGGTGAAAATGGAAGAATGAATAGGCAGAACACTCCTGAAGAAGGAATGAGCCCCAAAGACTGCAGCATAAAATCCTTCCCTGAGTTTTCAGCCTAACAGCTTAGAGAGTTCAAGCTCAGAACTAGAAATTGATCTTTACCAAAACTTCCAGTCTGCTGACCTGTCTGTCCTGTAGATTGCAGACTCCTCAACCCTCGCAGTCACGTAAGTAATTTCCTTCCATCCATTCATCTTTTTCTAGGTATTTATATCTTGCTATTTCTCTAAATATGATGACTCATTCTCTTGCAAGCAGACTTCACTCATCCTTGCATTTTTTGTAAAAGTCACCTGTCTCTTTGCCTTTGCCTTTTTGAGCAGTTGAACATTGTTAAGAGTAAATTGCACAGTGCACCATTAATGTACTGGTGATAAGTGCTTTAAAATAGGGTCAGCAATTGTAAAAGACGTCAATAAATTGTCATGTGCTGTTTAAGTTTACTGAGTAGGTGGCTCTTAGGTGGGGTTAAGGGTTAGCCTCCCTACTTCAGAACCCCAAGAATTTTTTTTTTCTGGTATTTTTGAGACAGGGTCTCCTCGTAGCCCCAGCTGGCCTGAAACTCACTATGTAGACCAGGCCTCGAACTCACAGAGATCCTCATCCCAAGTGTTGGGATTAAAGGCATGTGCCACCACACTGGGCCAAGACCCCGAAGAATATTTTAAAGTATTTTTTTCTATATTCATTTAGTGTGAACTTGTGTATGTATAGATACATGCATGTGAATATCAGAGGACAACTTGGAGTCAGTTTTCTCTATCATGTGGGCTCAGGAAACCAAACCCAAGTCCTCAGGGTCAATGGCAAGTGCGTCACTCACTGAGCCATCTGGCTCCCTAAGTATGTTTATCTTAAATTTTTTAAATGTGTTTAAGTGTTTGGCCTGCATGTATGTAAGTATACCTGTGCTGTGCAATGCCCATGGAGGCCAGAAGAGGCTGTTAGATACCCCAGAACTGGAGTTAAGGACAATGTTAGCCACCATGTGGGTGCTGCGAACTGAACCCAGGTTCTCTGCAAGTGCTCTTAACCACTGATCCATCTGTCTAACCCAAGTACATTTATCTTAAAGTGTCCTCCAAGACCCCTTCTTCAGGGATGGGTGGGTCCTTCTTCACTGTTAAAAAGGAAAGAATAGCAAAACAACTCAAAAGTAAAAGTAGTATGTCCTTGAGAACAGAAGGTTAGTAAATTGAGTACAATCACTGAGTCCTTGAACATAGCTGGATGGTAAATCATTCCCAAAGCTAAAGACTCAGCCTGTTTATCCCAGGATATTAAAATGCCTATGGTTGGATTGGCTAACTGGAAGTCTCACCCCGGAGGAGACATTCTGTCTGGAACCCTCTTAGTTTATCAGGGGCTCCAGAGGGGTTTCCTCAGTCATTATTGCTGGGTCTGATCTGATGTTCTCCTGCTTGCTGTTTTATTATTTTACTCCTGTTTGTTATGTACTTAATACATTTGCTCATTTCAAACCAAAAGCAAAGCTATCGAGGATCATTGTCCACACAGAAAAACAGTTTTCCAAATTTTTTTTGAAGATAAATTTCTGGCCAGTCGTGGTGGTATACAACTTTAATCTCAGCACTCAGGAAGCAGAAGCAAATGGATCTCTTAAGTTTGAGGCCAGCTTGGTCTACATTGTGAGTTCCAGGCCAGGCAGGGCTGTAGAGTAAGACCCTGTCTCATCAAAACAAAACAAAATAATAATGTCTGAGGGAATCTGTGACTTCTGCAAGGTAAGGTACTTGGGTGAAGAGAAGCTGTGAAATTAGGATGACAGTGGGCACAGTAGTCAGCTGGATGCATGAGTGAGGCACATGATAGTGTGCTGCAATTGGAATAGATAAATGCAGCAGTCTGAGAGTTGAGCAAATGTGCATAACACATGAATGTGCTGTCTGGGTACATCTTAATACCAAAAATCAGACTTGAAAATAATGCCCCTCTTACAGGTATATAAGAATTACATAGAAAAAAAAACTTTAAGGGGCAAGAGAGATGACTCAGTGGTTAAGAACACTGGCTGCTCTTGGAGAAGACCAGGGTTTGGTTCCCAGGACCCACATGACAGCTAACAACTGATGTTTTTGTTTGAGGGCAGTAGACAAGAGGTTCTTGGGTGAAAGAATATTACTACTCACAGCAAGTCAGAGTCATTTTTTGCACCAATTTACTGTGCCCCCAAATCCCACTGGAGGGAGATGGCACCAGGAAGATATGTGCACACAGTGGGTTGTGCTAGAGAATGACTCAGTCACTGGTCTTATGGGAAGTGGGAGCAGGCTTGCTTTTTGCTGCAGGAAGATACCTCTTCAAATCTAAAATTCATTATTCCAATTAACTGAACAATGACCTGCATAAAGAGTGGTCAGGGCTTTGCATGTTTTACATACCTAGCCAGAACAGGCAGGGACACAGCCTATGATAGATGACGCATGAAAATATGCCAGGCAATTTATCAAAAATATTTTAAAAACTTAATTGAGGGAAAAACTGCATTTGATTTTAGGGGAGAGGAAGCTTTGTAGTTTTCAGGGGTTTAAAAAGAAAGGCATCAATGAAGTCATCCAACTGTTACCATCCTTGGAGAGAGAAGGGCGCTTCAGCTAAAGACTCAAGGAAACAGGTGTGGAAACATGGTAAGGCCTTGCTATGCCCAGAGGACTAGCATCTCATGGCTAGACAGTATAGTAGCAGGTGTGGTAACATGGAGGAGGGGATGAGGTGAGTAGTGGTTTGCTTTGAAAGATCAGGCTAGAAAGATGAAGAACTCTCAGTAATGGATACAGTTAGACCTGACTGCATGAACAACCATGGTTGCCTAAAGTAATACTGCTCTATTCCCTGGGAAGTTTTCCAGCATACTATAAATAAACAAAGCATTTAGAAACACTTGACACCATCAGTGCCAGGAATGTGCTTGTCATTGCTGGTATTAGCATGAGATAAACCAGGTACATAAAAAATGCAAAGCCCTGACCATTCTTTATGCAGCTTGGATGAAGTCACTTTTTTTTTAGGGCAGGCTCTGCCTGTAGCCCCAGTTGGCTTGAAACTCACTATGAGACCAGGCAGGCATCGATCTCACGGACGTCCACCTGCCTCTCCCTCCCAAGTGCTGGGATTAATGGCATGTGCCACCATGCCAGTCCCAGGGGAAATCACTTTTGTCTTGATAATTATAGAAACCCCTTATGACTCATAACGGATTAGGCAGCCCAGAACACTGGTTTGCCTTCCTGAAGAGTCTGTGTATGTTATGGTGTACACCTGTGATCTCAGCACTTGAGGCTGAGACACTGGAGTCTCCAGTCCAAGGTCAGCCTATGCTACATAGGGAGACCGAATCTCAATAAACTCCCTCCCCCTCCCCAATACAACAATGCTATAATGTTGGCAGTGAGAACTACCCACAAGCTGCTTATTCAATGGACAATGTGTATGTGTTACAATGATCAGTTAGTGTTAACCAGTAAAAAGATGTCTTGAACATTCTTCATGTGGTCTCTCTTTAAGAACTCCTAATAATGCTAGTTAAGGGTGTTGGAAATCCAGGGGCTCAAACTCTGAGCTATACCACCAAGGTAAACCCCCAGCACCTAGCAGAGATTTTTATTTATTTTGGTTTTTTGAGGTAGTGTTTCATGTAGTGCAGGTCGGCCTCAAATTTTCTATGTAGTGAAGGATGACCTTGAACTGATTTGCCTGTCTCCACCTCTTAAGTGCTGGGACTGCAGGCATGAGCCACCACACATGGCTAAGGGATTTTGAAGGAATAATAAACCCTCAAGAATAGTGTGTGTGGGGGGGGGGGGGAAGATACCAGAAATAAAGTTCTAGAACCTGTAGGCAAAGGGTAAATTATTTTGAAAGCTAAATTCTAAACCAGTTTCAAGAACAGCCGAAAGTAAATTCTATTTGTGTCACTGAATCCCCAAAAAGTTTTCAAAACTGGTTTCTGGAAGTAGAGGTGAAGTAGCCAGCTAAAAGCATTGAAAGTTCATTAAGGAATCAGTTCTACTCTTTTACCATGGTCACAATTCTCCAGCCTAATTTTGAGGGCTTTTTGGTCCCTTAAGAAAGTAAGGTTGGTTTTTGTAGTGGAGGACCCCAGACAGCTAAGAGAGAACTAAGTGAAAATGACACAGAATTGGAACATCTTGTCCCCTGCAACACTTCTAACTTGATTTCCAAAAAGTTTTAAAATAGAATCATGGATCATTAGACACCCTAGAAAAGTCTAACATGAGACAGGGCCTGAGACCTGTAGAAGAAAAAACACTAAAACTAACAATAGAGACCTGGGTGAGCTTGGGGCATATCTGCAATCCCTGCTCTTGGGAGGCTAACTCAGGGGGATCTTGAGCTCTATACTGTGAGATTATATCTCAGAAAACAAGAAAATCAGGCTGAAAGATGACTGGTGGAGGTGATTAGCAACTTAAAAATCAGTTAAACACAGGAGAGACTGTAAAGGCTTTAGCAGTTCAAGAGGATCTGAACCAAGGTGAGAAGACGCCATTTTAGAGAGGTAAATTGTAGGTTCCTGGCTAGAAAAAACGAGAGCTTTTGAAGATCAGGAATTAAGAGTCCACTTTTAAAATTGGCCCAGGTAGTTCTGGTGTATTCATAAGGACACTGGCCTGGACTGCAAAGCATGTAAGTAAAACGGGAGAAGAGAAGGGAGGTTAACTGCAAGTAGATAAATAACGGTGTCATTTCTGAACACAAAAGACAACAAAACATTAAAAAGGGCCATGCGTGTTTGAGATGCTTGTGGTACAGGAGAAAAATGTGGCTGCCAAGTGTTTCTTGCAACAACTTCTAGTCACCAACAGCCAAGGACACACATCCTAGGCCTTTTCCGGTGCTGTGGGTGCAGAGCTGCTGTCTTGCCAAGAAAACAAAAACGAAAATACCCTGATCCTTTTCCTCTCTGCTGGGGCACAGTAACTTACAACCCCACAGTTGACTCCTTTCGCACTTTAATAATTTACATCCAGCTACGACTCTCGAAACGTACATAGCGAGACATATAACTCAGACCTGCCTGAGTTTCTTCATAGGGAGGTGCAAGGAATAGCTGTAGATGGCATCGTTCTAAGCTTCATTAAGACACCTGTCATGGTGCCACCAGTCTTGAGTATGTTCTCAGAAAATGTGGACGGCACAAGGCCAGGGACTCTCGAATTTCTCAGCGATTTCTTCACTTCAACCTTGGGAGATACTTTAACCCCCACTTTATGAATGAAGAAACTGATGCACAAGTTTCACGTGTGTTGGGGCTGGAGAGATGGCTTAGCAATTGAGTGCTTACTACTCTTACCAAGGAACCCTCTTTGGTTCCCAGCACCCACCCCAGGTGGCCCAAAACCACCTAGCACTCCAGTTCCAGGGGATCCGAAGCACTCTGGCCTTTGTAGGCACCTGCACACATGTGTGGTACACATATAATCATGCAGGCACACACACAAGTGTTTTGCCTGAGCTGAGCAGGGTGGCGCAGGCCTTTAATCCCAGCACTGGGGAGGCAGAGACAAGATGATCTCCGTGAGATCAAGGCCAGCCTCGTCCACTTAGCAAGTTCCAGGACAGCTGAGGCTATAGGAGCTACAGGGAGTCCCTGTCTTTAAAAAAATCACAAAAGACAAGAACAAAAAACCAACCAAGTGTGTTGCCTGAAGTTTCGGGAAGATATGAACAAGCACGATTCTAAGACAAGAGCAGCTAATACCATCCCAAGCCACCGCAGGACCAAATGGAGTGTCTGGGCGGAGTCTCGTCAGTGATGGCTCCGCCCCCGAACGCTAAAGGAACGTCAGGGGCGACTCTGGGCGGAGTCCCGTCAGCGATGGCTCCGCCCCCAGCGCTGGTGCGGACGTTACGGACCACTCGGAAAATTGACGTGAGGGGAGAGGCAGAGTGGCTGCTTTACGGCTGCTGGGCAACTGCTGCTCGGCTGGAAAGCGTCCTCACGTGCTGTCGCGAAAAGGCCGGGTGGGAGTCGCTGGAGGCCCTTCGGGGGCCGCGGCAGGCTCAGGGGCGTGGCGAGGGCCTGAAGGAGGCCGGGCTGGCGAGGCCGAGCTCCCAGCACGCCAGCCCGACAGCTCCGGGACCCTGCCCGGCCTGGCCTTGGAGCCCCTGGGGTGGGCCACCTCTCCTGCCTCCGTCCCTGTCCTTTCAGTGAAATGCAGGTGCACCTGCGTCCCTCCTCCAGCATGGTTTCGAAGAGCAATGAACGAATGCTTTGGAAGCCGTAGGTTCATTGTTACCAAAGGTAGTTATGTGATGTAAATTAAAACGCAGGGGCAGAAGGGAAAATAGAAACCCAGATTATTTGCCGATATTTATTTATAAGGCCCGATAATTTAGGGAGAATCCCTAAAGTGATAGAATTTGCTGAAGACTAAATAGAATTTGTAAAGTAGTAAGCAACTTAAACTTGTGCTATTACATGTGAAATCTGCTTGCTAGATTTTCCTTTTTGTTGTTGTGCTTTTAAAAGGTCCCAAACATAAACACAAAACACAGCTCTTAAGGGGAATAAGAGATCATTTATTATGAGTCAAATATGAGCGACCTTTGGGTTGCCCTGAATACCGTGTTCAGGGAAGTTATGTAAGATTTTATAGTTGCAGAACAAAAGAAAGTGAGAAATGAAGGCGTTTTTCAAATACATTGGTGGACCATTAGGTGGGTTACAGCAAAGTGGGGAAATTCAGTTATATTTTTGGGTATTATCAGGTGACAGATATTCTTAGCTTTTGGGTTAGTGGAAATTAGTGCTCTGTTAAGGTTTCATGTATAGGCATAAGGGTGTTAGGCCAGGCACAGATGATTGATAAATGGCTGTTAAAATAGCCCAAGATAATTTATGAGTCTGAGCATTGCAGTTCTCCAGAATCAAAGTTTTAAATCAGTCGGCCATCCTTGTAGAGTCTTCAACATAGGTGCAGCTTTTCTGGGAACTTCGGTTTGTTGTCTTGCAGTGCTGGGTGTGGGACCTTTCACACCAGGCAGGCATTCTATCATTGAGCTGAGTATCCAGCCGGTACAGTCATTTTTGCTAGTAGAGAAGTTTCTTGCGTTGCTCTCACCAGTCTCTCTAAACCTCCCTCTCCTAATATCCTCCTAATATTTCTTTTATACAAAGACTTCTCTGCCACTGATGTTTAGACAAAGGTCATTGAAATGAGTCTTCAGGAGCTGGTCCATCAGGTAGCCTCCATTTACCTGGACAAAACAGCTGTATGTTTTGATGAATGCAGCAGCCAACCTCCAGTGTATTATACCTACAAGACTGTGCTTAGTGTGGCTGCAGAATTATCCAATTTTTTGCTATCACACTGTGACTTTCCAGGACTTCGGGAGATTGGTCTCTACTGTCAACCTGGGATAAACTTACCCTCCTGGATTTTAGGGTAAGATTTTTAGTACTATAGATTGATATTACTCTAAGCTAGCTTGAAGTTTTTATACATAGAGCATATTGTAAGTTATTGTTCTGTTTATTGTTGGATTTTTCTATATTTGTCTACCAATTCTAAAGAGGCTAAGGTTCACTTTTCTTCCTAGTATTATTTTTAATCATTTGACTTTAATTAATTTGAGCTTATTTTGGAAAGATTAAGTCTTTTTTTTTTTTTTTGGTCTTTTTGAGACGGGGTCTCCCTGTATCCCCAGCTGTCCTGTAACTCACTATGTAGACCAGGATGGTCTTGAACTCACAGAGATCCGCCTACCTCTGCCGAGTGCTGGGATTAAAGGCATGCGCCACCACGCCCAGCTAGATTAAAAGTTTTTAATAATTGATTTTTATTTTTGGTTGTTAGCCTTAGCCTTTAACAGCTGCGCTATCCCTCCAGCCCAATAATTGATTATTTAAATAGCTCTAAAGTATAGAGCCTTCATTTGTCTGTCAAAAGAAAACAATTTATAACAGTTTGTTACAAATTAGGTCAAAGAAAACAAGGATTTTAGAAATAATGTAGCTTATTTTCTTTTGAACAACTAAAATTTTAGGCACTCAGGTAGTCAGTGAACAAATGAAGGAGAATTAAAATCAAATATGAGGGCTGGGGTTGTTGCTCAATGGTAGAGCACCTGCCTACCATGTGCAAGAACCTGGGTTGGGTCGCCAATACTCCCACTCTGCAAAAAGGAAAAAAAAGAGCCGGGCATGGTGACACACGCCTTTAATCCCAGCACTTGGGAGGCAGAGGCAGGCGGATCTTTGTGAGTTCAAGGCTAGCCTGGTCTACATAGTTCCAGGACAGCTGGGGCTACAAGGAGACCCTGTCCCAAAAAAGACCAAAAAACAAAAAAAAAAAAAAAAAAAAGAAAGAAAAAAGGAGATATATAACCTGTTAGAATGTCAGATGTTAGAGTGTTAGATGCCAGAAAAGGGCATCAGATCCCCTGGAACTGGTGTTAATGGACAGTTGTTATCTGCTATGTGGGTGCTGGGAACTAAACCCTGTCCTCTGCAAGGGCAGTCAGTGTTGTTACTTGCTATACCGTCTCTCTAGCCTCAAAACAGATTTTTTTTGTTGTTGTCTTTTTGAGACATGGTCCCCCTGTAACCCCAGCTATCCTGGAACTCACTAGGTAGACCAGGCTGGCCTCAGACTCACAGAGATTGGTCTGCCTCTGCCTCCCAAGTGCTGGAATTAAAGGTGCGTGCCACCACGTCCAGCATGCAAAACAGATATTTATAACATGTTTAGTGATTTAAATTATCTCTCTTGTGATTTGTGTTCTAGGTCTTTACATTAAATAAAAGCTGCCAAAGAATTATAGAAATAAGTTGATACTCATCCCATAATACATGTCTTAGTAAATTAATTATGTAAGTGTGAGTGAAATAAAAAAATGTTCTAAAATTTGCACATTCAGTCACTGACAGTTTATTGAGAATTTACTATGTGCAAAGATCTTATGTCCCCAAGATGTCCCTTCAAGTATTTTTACTTAAAATCAATAAATGCTGGCCAAGCAAGATGGCTCAGTGGGTAAAGCAAGACACTCATATACAAAGAATAAAAATAAATAGAAAAAATATTTTTTAACTTAAAAAAATTTATTGAGAATTTCATATATGCATATAAGGTGTTTTGATCAAATCCACACCCACTTCCTCCCCTCCAACTCCTCCCATATCTCCCCATCACTTTTTTTCTGAGAGCTTCATGTACTCTTTCTTTCTTTCTTTTTTTTTTTTTTTTTGTCTTTTTGAGACAGGTTCTCCCTGTAGCCCCAGGTGACCTGAACTCATTATGTAGACCAGGCTAGCCTTGAACTCACAAAGATCTGCCTGCCTCTGCCTCCCAAGTGCTGGGATTGCAGGTGTCTGCCACCATGCCCAGCCTCCTTTTTTTTTTTTTCTTTAATGGGGCTTTTTGCTACTCTAATATTCCCCTCCTCTGAAGAGATAACCCTAAAATCTTTTAGGGATTAGATAAAAGCTCCCAAATAACTTTTTACATTTTTGGCCTTTGGAATAGAGTATGTTGCTAAGAGGCCCAAGGACATTTTGACTTTTAGCCAAGAAACTGGCTACTTTAGAAAAAATAGTTTTAAAAAATGATTATCCAGGCATAGTGACACACACCTTTAGTCTCAGCACTTGGGAGGCATCTTTTGTAGTTCACTAAACTGCATGGGAATGTTAGCTTCTTTTACATTATCTTGCATAGACAGATAGATGAGTTAGACTCTGACCCCTGTTTGATATTTTACTAGTGGCCAATTAGCCAAGTATATTATGCTATAATATATTAACTCTTGAAAAAATTTGTATTTCTATATATTAAGTGGTAGAACTTTTTTTTTTTCAAAATTGAATATTGAACCTAGGGATTTGTACATGTAAGCAAGCTCTCTACACGAACTACAAATCTCAAGTGATAAGAACTAAATATAAAATTTTATGATACTCCACTTATTCATTGGGCGCAAATCAAATAATATTTACAACCAAGACATGGCCATAAAAATTGTGAAATTCTAATGAACAATAAAGTACTTGGAGGAACAGAAGTGCTTACAGGAGAATACATCCACCAACATTCTGTGCTGACCTTGTACTTGTTTCTACAGAATTCTCCAAGTCCCTGCTGCTTATGCTCCAATTGATCCAGACTCGCCACCATCATTATCAACTCACTTTATGAAAAAATGCAACCTAAAGTATGTTCTTGTTGAAAAGAAACAGGTTAATGTAAGTCTTGGTGTTTAGATTTTCTGAGGGCAGGGGCCGTGTGTGTGTGTGTGTGTGTGTGTGTTACATTTATCTTTTAACATAAGAGTACCTTTAAGTTCCCTCCTCCCCTATCTTGATTTCTAAATTCACTAACTCTGGTGGCATTTTTGGGCCTTAGCACTGTCAACATTGTGGGTTCGTGTTTGTTACAGAAAGTATCCCGTACATTGTAAGATGATTAGCAGCACTCCTGGCTGCCACTCATTAGACACCAGTAGCACCTCTGTGCTATGACATCCTCAAATGTCCAGGTCTTCCCAAATGTCCCCTGGCTCCTGCTACCCCACACACTTCATTGAGAAGCACCACTTTATGAAACTATCTTCTAACCTTGTAACAACTCTTTGTTGTGAGTTTCTTTTGTGTTTCCAAAGTTTCTGATTCCTGTGTTGGAAAGTTTCATGGTACTTGGAGAATTTTAATTTTGCCCTACTATACCTAAAGCAGCTACAGTGATTAACAATGTTAAAGAGTTGCAACCAAGCATACAGTTTGAAGAAGAGATCAGCTGTTAGACCACATGTTAGTGGAAAACTAAATTTATTTTTAAAAAATTGAACTGTTGGGGGCTGGCGAGATGGCTCAGTGGTTAAGAACACTGGTTGTTCTTACAGAAGACCCGGGTTCGAAATCAGTACCCACATGGCAGCTGACAGCTGTCCGTAACTCCATTCCCAGGGAATCCGACAGCCCCTTCTGACCTCTGCGGGCATTGCACAACACAGGTGCACTTACCTACATGTGGGCAATACACGCATACACATAAAATAAAAAAAAAATAATAAAATAATTTTTTTAAAGTTTAAAAAAAAACATTGAAGTGTCTGAGGCCAGGTATGGTGTGCATGCCTTTAATCCCAGCACTTGGGAGGTAAAGACAGGCAGATCTCTGTGAGTTCAAGGGCAGCCTGGTCTACATAATGAGTTCCAGGCCAGCTGGGGCTATAGGGAGACCCTGTCTCAAAAAGACCAAAAAAGAAAAGAAAAAGAAAAATTGAAGTGTGTGCCCACAAGAGGTGTAGCTAAGAAACACTTCTACTGCGTGTTCACCAAGAGGCAGCCCATGTTTTATTATTATTTATTTCTTGTTCATAAAATGCTTTCCAATGAGGAAGAATATTGTAGGAAATACATTCAGCTTAGCCTTCTCCCATTTCCTATATGAGCCTATTTATACTTGGAAGTAATGCAAATGCATTGAGTATTTTTGTGTCCATGCAGGTGCATATGAAATAGCAAGAGCTTGAGCTATATGGACTGCCTCCTACAGGATCATGAGGATTAGAATGGTGCCTCTAGAAAGAAAACTAAAGGATTAATTTGGTTAATAAGTGTTTGAAAATAAACCTCAGTATCTGTTAAAGCCTTCTCTTACACTCCTCAGACTGTTCATGCCTTTGTTGTTGGAAGTAAGAAAAACTCAGTTGGCACTGTGCTGTTTAATTTTCTAATAGTTTTGTGAAAAGATGGTTGGGTATAAAAACCTATTGTCAGGGCTGGATAGATGACTCAGTGGTTAAGAGGACTGGCTGCTCTTACAGAGGACTTGGGTTTGGTTCCCAGCATCCACATGATAACTAACAACTGTCTATAACTCCAGTTCCAGGGGATCTGACACCCTCTTTTGGCCTCTGTGGGTATGGTATTGCACAACATGATTACACCTATATACAGGTGGGCAAAATACTCATACACATAAAAATAAAAACAAAAATTAAAAGAATGTATCAAGATATGCTTTATGAAGGCATACAGTAGGGAATTTGCACATGGCAAAGCCCCATGAACAGTTCCTTGCTTCCCAAGCCATGATTTTGATGATGGTATAAATGTTTTTGCTTAACAAAGGAGCAGTAAGCACCTACTGCTTTCCTAGTACTCACTAGAGCAGTGAGTTATTAACTGAGGACAGTCCAGAAATGTTTTTGATTGCCCTTATAAAAATGGGATGCTACAGGCATCCAGTAAGTAGTAGATGGTGCTAATAATCCTATAGTGCACAAGACAGGCTTCCACAAAGAATTAAATGATCCAAATGTCAGCAGTGTAGAGGTTGAGAAACCCTGAGGGATAGAGATGGTGTTTGGGAGGGCACTGGTGTATAGCATTTCTCCAACTTCGTATGAGGACTGCTGTTGGGGAGAAAAGGCTGGTACTCCCGAAGCTGCCATGGTCTACAGTGTGATGGGGCCCCAAGAGAACCGAGTGTGACAGTAGACATAGTAAAGTCAAATGGAAAAGAAAGATTTTGAGCTAGGTCTTAAGAATATGTAGACCTTAACTGTTTTGTTTGTTTGTTTGGTTGGTTGTTTTGTTTTGTTTTTAGACTCTCATGTGTCCTCGGCTGGCCTTGAACTCTGTAGCTGAGGGAGACCTTGAACTTGTATTAGAAGATTCTGCTGCCTCCACCTCCTGAGTGTGTCATCATGGCCAGTTTTGCCTTTAACTTTTTTTTAACATTATAGGCTATCTGTGCCACAGCCTACCACTTATACTCACACATACAACACAAACACAAGCAGAAAACATTGCAGGCTTACTGAAGATAGACTTTTTGTTATTTATATTGACTTCTTTTATGGAAATTCAGGTTGTTTTATTAAGCTGTTTAAAAAAATCAATACAAGAAAGCATATTCAAAAGAACCTCACTTTAAATATATACAAATCAGATGTGATAGTATATTCCTGTAATCTCAGCACTCAGGAGGCAGAGGCAGGATGATCACCTCAAGCTTGAGGCCAAGATCTATATAGTGAGCTCCAGGTTAGTCTGGGTTACATTGTGAGACCCTATTTCACAAAATCAAAAACCAAACAAACTTACTACCTTTATATCTAAACATTTCTGCATCACTCCATCACCACCAGATCTCGAGTCAGAAACCCAACAGTCACCTTGGGCTCACTTTATAACCAGCAAGCCACCATCTCTATTGATTTTTTGCTCATAAACCCTTGAGGACCACTCCTATGTAAAACTAGCACAAGCTTATATGACATACCAGAATGGTTGCAAAGGACTCCTTAAATGGCACTGACTTAGCAGAAGCTTACCTTTCTATCCTTGTTGGAACAGAGTCTGCACCATGCTGTTGCTACTTCCAATTGGATCTCATCACATACAGGTTAAGGGGCAGACTCCTTCGTGCTAATTGTACAAAGTAATTAAGGAACTGCATTTCATCTCCTGTCAACACCACAACCTGCCTTCTCCCTTTTCTTTGATTTTGCACCTTTTTGGAAAACTTACTGTTTTCCAGGTCAGCTTTCTGGGATCATACATTCTGTATCATGATTGTCTGAACTACCTATCTTCTCATTTGGAGAAAAACTACTTCTAATGTAGATATTGCCTATGAAGCTATCTCTGACCCTTTCTGCAGAGTTAAGTTCAACTTCTCAATGAACATTTCACTTGTATGTCATTATCACACTTACCATGTTGGTATTATAATTACATGCTTTTATATGTCTATTTTGAAGCTGAGTTTAAAAATAAGGACAACACCTTACTCTTGGAAATATCTTATTTCTTTTTTTAATCCTAGATCTATAGCTGGTACTCCCATCCCTTCTAAGCCATGTTGATAACCAAATGAATATTTTATATCCTATATAAAAGAATGCCTTTTAATATTTGTAAACTTCATCACTTATCTGATAGAAATTCAGATCTTCCCATGAAACATTTTTGAAGTATGAGATGATTACAGTGGAACATAAGGACCTGATGCTCTTCAGACTACATTGGGAAGATGCTGAGGTGAACTTGATGCTAAGTGATGGAAAAGAGAACTATGAGAAAGAAAATAGAAAAAGCACAAGTTCTGAGAACAGCAGTGAAGAAAGCCAACACATGGATGTGAGGCTACCGAGTTGCTTAGCCTATGTCCTGCACACGTCAGGGACCACAGGGACACCGAAGGTTGTCAGAGTGCCTCATGCATGTATCCTGCCAAATGTCCAGCATTTTCGGTAAGTTCCAGCCACTGAATCCTTCTTAGAGTTTGGATTTTAAGCTGGGTGTGGTGGTATCAGAGGCAGAAAGATTACAAGTTTGAGACCAGTTTGTACTATGTAGGGAGACTGTCTCAGGAAAACAAAGCAACAGAAAACAAAGGAATAAAAGAATTTTAAGCCGGGTGTTGTGGCGCATGCCTATAGTCCCAGCACTTGGGAGGCAGAGGCAGGCAGATCTCTGTGAGTTCAAGGCCAGCCTGGTCTATATAGTTCCAGGACAGCTGGGGCTACAGGGAGACCCTGCTTCAAAAAGACCAAAAGAAAAAAAAAAGAATTTTTAATGTTTATTGTTTGTCTTATTCTAAGTGGATAGTCAGAAGTAACTGAGTAACTGGGTCTGTCATCTTTATCTGATCTTTGGTTCTCTGCAAAGAATGCACTTGGTGATATAGGCCAACCATAGAACACACAATAGGACTGAAGCCTCTGTGTACATGCATATGAGAATGTGTGTGAACGTGCTCTTATGAGTGTGTGTATGTGTTTATGCATGTGTGTGCATGCCTGGGATTGAGCCCAGAGCCTCACACGTGCTAGGCAAATGCTCTAACACAGCTTCATCCCTAGCCCTGTTTTTTCTTTGTGTTTTGACACTGGGTCTCAGTTGCCTAGGACAACTTTGAACTCCATCTGTAGTCCAACTGGGCCTCAAATGTGTTATCCTGCTGTCATAGCCTTGGTAACTAGGATTATAGGCCTATACCACGAGCCCTACTTCTTGCTTTTTAATTATTAGTAAAAAGAGAAGAAATATTTCGTTGGCAGAGGCACGAGAAGAGGTATGGGAGAAAGGAGGTTTTCTCTGAATGTTCATTCTGGGCAGGAGCCTGGAATGCCCAGTTCAAGTTTAAACTAAATCTATTAGATGACGGGTAGGGACTACCAGAGTTGCCTGTCATTAAATTCATCCTTATGCTAATATGGAGTTTGTCCTAATACGGTCAAAGGGGAAATCTCTAAAACTGAACTGCTCATTTTGTGATGAAGGAAGCAGAAGAGGGAGCATACCACTAGGTGTAATCCAAATGAGGACTACTACCCTAGTAGTAGGAACCTGCTGAGATGCCTACATAATTTAGGTCAGTGTAACTTTTATGTGCTTTTCAGTTTTTTTTTTTTTTTTTCTGGTCTTTTTGATACAGGGTCTTCCTGTAGCTCCTGCTGTCCTGGAACTCACTACATAGACCAGGCTGGCCTTGAACTCACAGAGATCCGCCTGCCTCTGCCTCCCGAGTGCTGGGACTAAAGGCATATGCCACCGCGCCCGGCTGTTTTTTAAAAAAATATTTTATTATTTTTATTTTTTGTGTATGTGTGTATGCCTGCATGTAGGTAAGTACACCCGTGTCGTGTGGTGCCCTTGGAAGTCAGAAGAGGCTGTCGGATCCCCTGGAACTAGAGTTATGGACGGTTGTTAGTTGCCATGTGGGTGCTTGGATTTGAACCTGAGTCTTCTATAAGAACAGCCAGTGTTCTTAACTGCTGAGCCATCTCTCTAGCCCCAGTAGTTTTCAGTTTTTAAGTAATATTAAAAGGTAAAAAGAATTTTTTGAGGCTATAGCTCAATGGCAGAGTGCTTGTCTAACACACAAAATACTGGGTTCAATCCTTGGCACCACAAAAAAAAAAAGAAAAGAAAAGTATAAAGAATCAAATGGAATTATTTTTTTTTGTCTTTTTGAGACAGGGTCTCCCTGTAGCCTCAGCTGTCCTGGAACTCACTATGTAGACCAGGCTGGCCTTGAACTCACAGAGATCCACCTGCCTCTGCCTCCCAAGTGCTGGGACTACAGGCATGCACCACCACGCCTGGCTAATTAATGTATTTTTAAAATTTGTTGTGTCTAAAATATGTTTCAGTGTGCAATTGACATAATAATTAATGAAGTATTTTACTTTTTAAAAGAACTACTCTTCAAAATTTGATTTATATCTTATAGTTAAACATTTTGCTGTAAACCAGCCACGCTTTTGGTGCTCAGTATATTAGAGCATATTAGATAGTGGAGGTAGATCTAGAAAGAGCTGGTGTTTAAATGCCATAAAGAAAGGTGACTGTTGTAATTGCCAGTATGGTCTTCAGTGACTTCTGAGCACCCATGGCTCAGGACACCTTACGTAGACTGCAGAATGGGAGAATGTAGAGGTAACTGGGGTATTCTTTTCTGGAAACCAGTTGAATGGAAAAGAAAGATAGAATTCCAGGAGAGTGTGTAATTTTTTTTTTTTTTTTCGGTCTTTTGAAACAGGCTCCCCCTGTAGCCCCAGCTGGCCTGGAACTCACTTTGTAGACCAGACTGGCCTTGAACTCACAGAGATCTTCCTGCCTCTGCCACCCAAGTGCTGGGACTACAGGCATGTGCCACCATGCCTGGCCTTAGAGAGTGAAAGTTTTATTTTATATTGGGAGAATTTTGTAGGCTTTAGGGCAGGAATTGGTAGGAGGATTGGCTTGAATAATGAAATAATAGAAGTATTGGCAAAGGACTGGAGCCTTGAGAAGGGAGGGGTAGCACTGAGAATACTACACAGAACACCTCTTGCAAGGATAATGATAAGTTATATCAGCTCCTTAGTGTTAGAGGAAGCCATGAGTTGTAACTTTTGAAGGAAAAAGAAGGGCCAAAGCAAAGGGACTCTGATATGTTTTGGAGAACTAACTGGAAGAGAGTGGGATAGATCTGGATCCTGGGGAACGTGGGAGGGACAGCTTAGAGGCACTGGACACAGAGGTAGGAATGGTATAAAGTGAGAGCAGATGTTTGCTCAGTGAGGATAGAGGGCTGGTTTATGATGAAAATATGTTGCTTTCTTTTTTTTTAATTAATTTATTTATTATTTGTATTTGTATGAGTGTATTGCCTGCTTGTTGGTAGGTACACCTGTGTTGTGCAGTGCTTTCGGAGGTCAAAAGAGGGCATCAGATCCCCTGGAACTGGAGTTATGGACAGTTGTTAGCTGCCATATGGGTGCTAAGAATTGAACCCAGGTCCTCTGCAAGAGCAGACATTGCTCTTAACTGCTGAGCCATCTCTCTAACCCCATGGATTTTTTAAAGAAAATTTTTATGTGAGGGCTAGAGATGGCTCAGTGGTTAAAAGCACTAGCTGCTCTTGCAGAGGACCTGGGTTTGGTCCTCAGAACTCACATGGCAGCTAACAACTGTCTGTAACTCCAGTTCCAGGGGATCCAACACCCTCTTCTGGCCTCTGTAGGTACTAGACATGCATGTGGTGTGTGTGTGTGTATAGGCAAAACAACAAAAAAATGTGTGTGAATACGTGCCTGTATGTATGTATATGAATCATGTGTTTGTCTAGTGCCCACAGAGGCCAGAAGAGGGTGCCGGATCTCTTAGAACTAGAGTTACAAGAGTTTGTGAGCTGCCTGATGTGGGTGCTAGGAACTGAATCTGGGTCCTCTGAAAGAGCAGTAAATACTCTTAACTACTGAGTCATGTCTCCAGCCTTTGAAAGCCCCAAGTCTAAACTGCCCCCAAATCTGAAACTTTCTGGAACCAGCAGGACATTTTCTGATGGTTCTGTATACACAAACTTGGCTTCATGCACAGAAAAAAATATTTTTTTAAAGATTTACTTTTTATGTGTATGAGTGTTTTGCCCACATGTATGTATATGTACCATGTAGTTGCTTGTGCCTGAGGAACTAGAAACATGTGTTGGTTCCTCTGGAAATGGATTTATAGTAGGTTGTGAGCTGCCAGGTGAGTTCAGAAAACCCAACTTAGGTCCTCTGCAAGAGCAGCATGTGCTTTTACCTGCTGAGCCATCTCTCCAGCCCCAAATGCACAGAAATTTAAAAATATTATATAAAATTATCTTTAGGTAATAAATATATTGTTATATAATAATAAATAGTATGTTACATAATATAAAGTATATGCAAAACAAATGAATTTTGTATTTAGGTTTGGCTCTAATCTCCAATATATCTCATTATGTGTATCTAAATAGAAAAGCAAGCAAACAGTAAAACTTGAAATCCAAAACATTCTTGTTTCCAAGGTGGTTTTTTTTTTTTTGGTCTTTTTGAGACAGGGTCTTCCTGTTGCCCCCGCTATCCTGAAACTCACTATGTAGACTAGGCTGGCCTTGAACTCACAGAGATCCGACTGCCTCTGTCTCCCAAGTGCTGGGATTAAAGGCGTGCGCCACAATGCCCAGCATTGTTTCCAAGTTTTTAAAAAACTTTTTTATCATTATGTGTCTTTTGTGCATGTATGTTCATGCCCCACCCCCTCCACCTTTTTTTGTTTGGTTTGGTTTTGGTTTTGGTTTTTGAGACAAAGTCTCTCTGTAGCCCCAGCTGGCCTGGAATTCGTAGATCAGTCCAGCCTAGATCACAGATATCTATTCCACCTGAGAGTGCTGGGACTAAAGGTGTGCACCACCACACCCAACTCCCAGCACTTTTTCTTTTTTAAACAGGGTCCCCTTATAGCTCCAGCTAATCTGGAACTCCCTAAAGGTGTGCACCACCACACCCAGCTTCCCTGCCCCCAGCCCCTAGGCATTTTTTAATGAAGGATATTCAGCCTATACTTTCTGAAAAAAAATTGTAGGCATTTTTTTTTTTTTTCAGTCTTTTTGAGACAGGGTTTCCCTGTATCCTTAGCTGGCCTGAAACTCTTTTGTAGACGAGGCTCTTTTGTAGATCCACCTGCCTCTGCCTCCTAAGGGCTGGGATTAAAGGCCTGCACCACCACACCTGGCTTGATTTTCTTTTTATCTGTTTGTGTTTTGCTTTATTGTTATAATAAGAATATCTTAGAAAGATAAAAAAAATTGCTGTTTATGCAAGACCCTTATTCTACAAGGTATATGTGATATCCTCCCTCTATAGAATGTTGATCTTGCCTTTAAACATTGACTTCTGTTTGGGGCTGGAGAGATGGCTCTGTGGCTTAGAGCACTGGCTTCTCTTGCAGAGGACCCAGGTTTGATTCCCAGCACCCACATGGTGGCTAAGAGCAGTCTTCAGTTCCAGGGGATCCGATGCCCTCTTCTGACCTCCTTTGGTATTTCATGACATGGGTGCACTTATATACATGCAGGCAATGCACTCATACACATAAAATAAAAGCAATAAATAAAATATAAACATATTTCCAGATCATATCCTTTCCTTCCTCCCAGGATGAAGGATGAGCCAGTATAAAACAACAGTTGTAGTTTATTAAATATAGAAAGAAGCTGGGCGTGGTGAACCCACCCAGCTTTGATCCCAACACTTGGGAGGAAGAGGCAGGTAGATCTCTGAGTTCAAGGCCAGCCTGGTCTGCATAGTGAGTTCCTGAATCCCAGCACTCAGGAAGCAGAGGCAGGTGGATCACTGTGATATCAGGTCAGCCTGGTCTATATAGCTCCAGTTCAGCTGAGGCTACTGGGAGACTGTGTCTCAAAAAACAAAAAATAAAAGATGTTTGAGTTAACCTTTAACATACAATGAATGAGACACATAATTAAATTTTTAAAAATCTTTGTTCCTCGCTTGAAGATCTTTTGAAGTTAAGGGAATCTATTTTTAGAGATTTTGGTTTGTGTGCTCAAATGAAAAGCAGCACCATAGGCCCAAAGCTGTCTATCCTTGCTATAATATCCTAACTTATTTTTGTTCTCATACCATGAGAAGTGCCAAATTGTAGGGACAGGAAAAACAGAGGTCTAGACTAAACATCATTGAATAAGTTTGAATAAGGAGTTTAGCCATCCCTATAATCCGAGCATTCCGAGGCTGAGGCAGGAGGATCAAGAGTTCCAAGCCAGCCTGGGCTACATAGGCAGAGCTTGTCTCAAAAACATAAAAATAAGAGGCTAGAGAGATGGCTCAGTAGTTTGGATTTCATATCCTAGCACCATGTAACAAGCTGGGTGTTCCGAAGATGCCTGTAACTTTAGCTCTGAGGGATCCTATGCACTCTTCTGGCCTCCATGCCCACAGGCACACCCACCTGCATACACACATACATGCAGACATACACAGAGATTAAATATTTAAAAAATAAAATGAAAATGGAAAGTAAACCAAAGAGAATAAAGATTCTAGTGGTATGAAACCAGGAGAATATACAAGTGGATTATTACAAGGAACTGTCTTGTATATTGTGTCCTCTGGCTAAGTATGAGGGCTGTAGGGTAGGCAGTCAGGAGGTTGCAAGGGGGAGGGTGTGGTGTGTGGCAGTGATCAAGACCAGGCTGGAACTCCGTGGCTGACTGTTCTCAGGCAAAGCCAGAAAAGGCAGTCTGGAGGTGGCAAGGGGGAGGGCGGGGTGTGCAGCAATGATCTGGATCAGGCTGGAACTCCATGGCTGACTGTTCTCAGGCCAAGCCAGAAAAGACAATCATGGGGGCTGGGAAGTTAATTGCAGACCCAAATGGTGCTTGACTTCTTACTGAAGAAATTCAGCCAGTTTAGGATAATCTACCAATTGATTAAACTCAGCTAATTATGACTTTAGGGTTCGACTGAATAACAGGACATTTGTGTTTGTGTGTTACCAAGTGGCAGCTGCCTGTCTTCTGTTCTCTTAACTCTTCTCCCTAAAGAAAAGCATATTAAAGCTAGTGGTGCATACCTATAATCCTAGCCACCTGGAAGGCATGAGGCAAGAGGATTTGCTGTGAGTTTGGGGCCTACGTGGGCAACATTGAGTACCAGGCCAGCCAGAGCTACATAGCAAGACCCTGTCTCAAAACCAAACTAAGCCAGGCGTGGTGGCACACGCCTTTAATCCCAGCACTTGGGAGGCAGAGGCAGGCAGATCTCTGTGAGTTCAAGGCCAGCCTGGTCTACATAGTGAGTTCCAGGACAGTTGGGGCTAGAGGACAACGGAAGCATGTTAGAGAATTCTGGGAATTGTAGTTCAATCTATCTAAACCAGAAAGCTGTAACATGATTAAAATCTGTCTGAAGAAAAAGTTATTGTTTAAAGGGCTTTCAATCCTGACTTTTATATTTTTGGTTAATCTAAAAGGAGAATAAAGTCTGACAACATTCAGAAACTTGTTCTTGTCAGTATTCTCTTGGGATCTGCGTTTATCAAATGTTATACATTCTTTATGATAACTACACTGTGTTTGCCTCAGGGTGCTTTTTGACATCACCCAAGAAGATGTTTTGTTTCTGGCTTCGCCTCTGACCTTCGATCCATCTGTTGTGGAAATATTTGTTGCTCTTTCAAGTGGAGCCTGTCTGCTTATTGTGCCAGCTTCTGTCAAAATGCTCCCATCGAGATTAGCTGCTGTTCTCTTTGCCCATCACAGAGTGACTGTTTTGCAGGTACACTTTAGTAACAAATGAAATGTTTTCTCTTGGATTGTTTAATGTTGACTGTTTTAGAAAACACTTTATACTTCTGTAGTTCTTTGCAAAGAATTAATAATCTAGATCATTAAAGTTAGATCTGTTATCTTGTGATCTTATTTGTTTATTTAAAAATGAAAGAGAAATCAGTTAATCATGCCTAGAAAATGATTTATGGTGCATTAATGAAATTGACAGTTAATGGTTATAGTCAGGAGCCATGAGGGGAACATTGGCCCCCTGTGTCAGGAGCAGATCAGAGTATGGGCAGTAGAAAACAGGTGGTGGGGTCCCCTCACAGCCTGATCCTAGCACCCAGTGAATGTATCCTTACCCAGCTTAACCTTCTGTCACTTCCCTCATCTGTAAAATGGCTATAGCAACATCACCACTGTCAGAATCATGAAGCCTAAATGAACTGGGACACATGGACTCCTTAGATAGTAGCTGGTATCCAGTATCTATTACATAAACACCAGCTGTTACCATGTCACCTGCTCTTTCTACAGTACTCTGTGACATGGTGCATGGACACTCCATTGCCCTGACCAGAGTAAACAATTTTGCAGTTAAGCACGAGTCCTGAACTTACCCTATCAAAGTCGATTCAAGGATTTTTAGTTAAACTCTAAGGAAAGAAAAGTTTTCCTAAACCTGGGTATGCTGAGTCTAAGGGCGCCTGAGCCCTAGTGATAGAGACTGTTCCGGTGTAGCTTCACATCTGTTTGTTTGCTTGCTTGTTGGTTGGCTTGTTGGCTGGTGTTTCTACGAATGTACTGTTGTGCTCACCTATGAATGCACATGTGGAGGCTAGAGAGAGATGTCAGCCATCTTCCTCAACTGCTCTTCATCTTTTGTTTTTAAAATAAGTAATTTGTTGAGAATTTCATACATGCATATAAAGTGTTTTGATCAAATCCATGCCCATTCCCTCCAACTCCTCCCATATCTCTGATAGCTTGCATGCACTCTTTCTTCTTTATTTCTTTATATGGGGCTACTCTAACATTGCCCTCTCTGAAGAGGTAATCCTAAAATCTTTTAAGAATGAGATACAAGCTCCCAAACACTTTCAACATTTTTGGCCTTTGGAACAGAGTATGCTGCTAAGAGGCCCAAGGACATTTTGACTTTTAGCCAAGAACCTGGCTACTTTTCTGTGGGGTCTTTTTACCCTAACTGCCTAGCCAATTCCTACCTCCTATTCTTATCACATCATCCTCTGAAGAGGTTACCCAGATTGCCAGTAGAGAATAGGGACGCAGACCGCTCTGGCTTCTTCCAATAAAAACATTTTTAAAATACGCATTTGAGGGCTGGAGAGATGGCTTAGTGGTTCAGAACACTGGCTGCTCTTTCAGAAGACCCAGGTTCGAATCCCAGCACCCACATGGCAGCTAGCAACTATAACTAACTCCACTTCCAAGGGATCCGACAGCCTCTTCTGTCCTCCGTGGGCATTGCACAACATGGGTGCACTTACCTACATGCAGGTAATACACATGCACATAAAAATAATAAATAAAATATATATAAAAAAAAAATATGTATTTGAAAGTCTATAGTACATATCTAGGTGGTACCTCTGATAGACCTAGCAGAGGGCAGAGGATCAAGAATTTGAGACCAGCCTAGGCTACATAACAGTTTCCAGGTCTGCTTGGGCTATATATAAGACCCTATATTAAAAAGAAAGAGTATATGGAGCACAGGCCTTACAATATTACATTATAAATGGTTAAAAATAATGGAGAGAATCAGTGAACTTATTTATATGTATCATAATACAAAGATATCTTAGTTAAGTGTGCAGTTGCTCTGAACTTTGGGTTTTATCTGTAAGTGGAAAAAGTATTCATTTAGTAGAAGGGAAAATAGGTAGTATAACATAGTATGTATATAAAATAGGTAGTATAACATAGTATGTATATGTGTCCTACTCTTTGCAGGTACTGTAAAAAAATACTTCAAAGTAGGTGGCTTATAAATAGCAGAAATTTCTTATAGTTCTAGGGCCTGGGAAGCCTATGATCAAGGCACCAGCTGATTCAATGTGAGGTACAGGCATGCTCACTACTTCATGGACTGCTGTCTTTACTGTATTTTCATGTGTTGGAAGGCAATGGGCATCTTTTGGACATCCTTTTATAAGGGCACTAATGCTGTGCTTGAGTGCTCTGTATTGTCGAGGTAATCCAACTCTCACCTCAAAGAGAATAAGAAATAGTTTATTCTGGAGCCAAATATGAGTGACCATGGCCTGGATCACAGGATTTGGGTTGCCCAAAATATCATGTTTCTAATGGTATAGTTGCAGAGCAAAAGAAATTAATAAATCAAGGCACTTTTCTGATGCATTGATGGAAACATCAGATAGGCGGACACAGCAAAGTGCTCTAGGCCTCAGATACTATCTGATGATATTCGTAGCTTTTGAGTTAGTGGGAGCTAGTAGTCTGTTAATAAACCCTGAGAGGTTTCAAGTGATAGTCACAGGGATGTTAGGACAGACACAGAGGTTGGAGATTAATGACTACTAAAGGGGACTAAAGATAGCCCAAGATAATTTGGCCAGGAACTGCAACATTCCACCCTCACACAAATGAAGTCAATCAGCCTTGTAAAATCTGTAACATAGATGAGACCTTTTTCCTCAGGACTTCAGTTCATAATATATATAACCAAATTCCTTCAGTTCTGTTTTCTTGAGGGCTGTCGTTTCAGTGCATAAGATTTTTGTTTGCTTGCTTATTTATTTAATTAAAATTATTTATTTATTTTTTATGTGTATGAGTGTATTTCCTGCATGTGTGTTAGTGTACCCCTGTCATGTAATGCCAGCAGAGATCAAAAGGCGTTGGATTCCCCTGGAACTGGAGACAGTTGTTAGCCAACAACTGGAAACGGTTGTCCTTAACTCCAGTTCTAGGGGAATCCAAAGCCCTCTTCTGACCTCTGCAGCATTGCACGACACAGGTGCACTCACATACATGCAGGCAATACACTCATACACATAAAATAAAAATAATAAATAAAATTTAAAAAAAAACAACAAAAAACTATGCTAGCATGCTTGATGAATGAATGCTTTTCCCAAGACTGGGAATAAGGCAGGGGTGCTTGCTTCTGCCACTCTGTTTAGCATTATTCTGGTGGGGCCCACCAATGCAACGAGGAAAAAGGAGAAGAGGAAGAAGAAGAGGGAGAGGGTGATGATGGTGCCAATGATGAAGAGAAGGAACTTCATATGCAGATAGCATGCTCATATTTAGAAAAATAGGGGAGGCAGGAAGGGGAAGAGAATACCAGGATTAATGAACACTTTTAGCAAATCTGGAAGATTAAAGCTCAATATAAAAAGATCAATTGTAGCCAGGCATGGTGGTGCACATGTTCAGTCCCAGCATTTGGGAGGCAGAGGCAGGTGGATCTCTGTGTTCACATAGAGAGTTCTAGGCCCTCTGGGGCTATAGGGACACTCTGTCTCAAAAAGACCCAAAAATTTAAAAAAGATCAGTCATACATATATACTATATATGTATATATACACACACGTATGTATATATATATTCATACACATTTCTATATATGTCTGTTTTAAAGAAATGTCTAAAGTAAAATCAAGAAAATATTTCTTTACAATCACATCAAAAATAACAAAATAGGAATAAGTTTAAAGAATAGCAAGATGTAGTCTCTGAAAACTATGTAACATTGTTGATAAAAATGAAAGACCTAAGTAAACAGGCATTTCATGTTTATGGGTAGAAGTTTCAATATTGTCAAGAGGGCAGTTTTCACTAAGTCCATATATAAATATATTAAACATAGCATGTACCAAAATTCCAGTAGACTTTTTGTAGAAATCGAACCTAGATTTTATATAGAAATGGAAAATCCATTTATGCATTTTTTTATACAATGGAATACCACAATAAAAAGAAGTGAATTGTTTATATACACAGTGACATAGGATGAATTGTGAACTGTTTGTTCGTACAATGACAAAGGATGAATTGTAAGATATTTATTTATTTATTTATTTGCCTATTCAAGTTTTTTTGTAATTTGTTTTTTTGAGATAGTCTTACTTTATAACTTTGTAGCTTACCCTGGCCAGGAACTCACTATGTAGACCAGGCTAACTTCAGACTTGGGATAGTCCTCCTGGCTCAGCTTCTCAAGTGCTAGAATCACAGGTATGAACCACCATGCCTAGCTTGCAAAAACATTTATAGTAAGTGAAGAAAGTCAAGTGAAGTGTGGTTTTCTATTTATATAAAGTTCTAGAAGTTGTCAACTGATCCCTTGTGACAGGGAATAGATTAGAAGTTGTCTGGAGAAGCATCCAGTAGAGGGAAGAATGGCTATAGGTAATTTTTTTTTTCTTTTTTGGTCTTTTTGAGACAGGGTCTCCCTGTAGCCCCAGCTGTCCTGGAACTCACTATGTAGACCAGGCTGGCCTTGAACTCACAGAGATCCGCCTGCCTCTGCCTCTGGAGTGCTGGGATTAAAGTTGTGCACTACCATACCCGGCTGCTATAGGTAATTTTAAGGCTGATGTTCATTACTGTGGTCTGGGTATTTGTATCCCTTCGGAATTCACATACTGAAGTCAGCACACACTGCTTTTGCAGAGGACTTAGGTTTAATTCCTAGCACCCACATGGAGGCAGATAACTGTCCTTAATTCCAGTTCCAGGGTATCTGATGCGTTCTTCTGGCCTTCATGGCACATAGATGGCACACATACATGTGTGCAGGCCAAATACTGATAAAAATAAATCTCTAAAAAAATGATATTAAATTGTATACTTAAGCTGGAAAGACTTGGAGGACTGAAGTAGGAGTTTTGTGGCTAGTTAGGGCTATGCACTGAGTGTCAGGCCAGCCTGGGCTAAACAGTGAAACTCTGTTTCAAAAATTCTTACTAAATAATATACTTAATAGTTTGTTGTTTGTTTCTTTTGAAACTGGGTCTCATGTAGCCTAGGCTGGCCTTAAACTTGCTGTGTATCTGAGGATGACCTTGAAATCCTGATGATCCTGCCTCCATCTCCCACGTGCTGGATTACAGGTGTACTCCTTGCCCAACTCTTAATATTTTATGTCAGTTATAACTCAGTGAAGCTGTTAGAAATCTTTGTTCATATGATTTTGCTTGGGCACATTCTAAAACCCTTTTATATATTTTCTGGACATAGAGCTAATGGGAAAGGAAAGATAAATTGATGTTCAGGTCTTTAATACTTTTAATTTTTTTAAAACTGTAACTTTAAAAAATTTTTTTATTATATTTATTTTATGTGTATGAGTGTATTACATGTGTGTATATAAGTGCACCCATGTTATGCATTGTCCCTGAAGGTCAGAAGAGGGTGTCAAATCTCCTAGAACTGGAGTTATAGACAGTTGTTAGCTGCCATGTGGGTGCTGGGAACCAAACCTGGGTCTTTTGCAAGAGCAGCTAGTACTAACTGCTGAGCCATCTCTCCAGATCCTAATCCTTTTCATTTGAAATCTTTTCTTGTAAACTATAGGGCTGGGGATATAGATCAGTGGTAGAGTGATTATCTAGCATACATGAGGCCATGGGTTTGATTTCTAGTACTATGAGACAAAACAAAGTAATAAAACATAACTAATATTTTTGCTTCCTTGTTTGCTAAGGCAATCTCTATACATGTTTTTAAAACAATGCTTTCCTCAGTACTTCAGTAGTTTTCTAAATAGGATTGATCATTTGAAAAATACAGCCTTGGGACTAGCTCAGTGGTTAAGGGGACCCTTGATCCCCAGCACCCACATCAGATGGCTCATGAACACCTGGAACTCTGAGGCCTTTGACGCCTCCTTCTTGTCTCTGCAGGCACACACACATACACATAAATAAAAACAAATAAAAAAAAGATAAATACAGACTTAATCTCCATGTGAGCTCCAAGTGTAAAGCTTGGATGCGTTATTTTAGAGTTTACTCTTTAAGAAGGAAGGGGAGCATTAAAGGGTTTTAATGTGTTTACAGGTAACACCAACACTGCTGAGAAGATTTGGATCTGGGCTCATCAAGTCAACTGTTTTATCAACCAGTACCTCCCTGAGGGTGCTGGCGCTTGGTGGTGAAGCCTTTCCCTCACTGAACACTCTCAGAAGCTGGAGAGGGGAAGGCAACAAAACACAGATATTTAACATTTATGGCATCACAGAGGTGTCGAGTTGGGCAACGTTTTACAGAATTCCAGAGGAGATTCTTAACTCTACTTTGAAGTAAGGGTTTTAAGCATACTATCTAGAAGGGAGAGGACATGTTTTTTTGGGATCTTAACATTAAGATTGGGTTTTAAAAACATTTTAATTGATTCTTTGAGGGGTTTTTTTTTTTTTTTTTTGGTCTTTTTGAGACAGGGTCTCCCTGTAGCCCCAGCTGTCCTGGAACTCACTATGTAGACCAGGCTGGCCTTGAACTCACAGAGATCCGCCTGCCTCTGCCTCCCTAGTGCTGGGATTAAAGGCGTGCGCCACCACGCCTGGCTATGATTCTTTGAGAATTCTATGCAATGTATTTTGATCATATTCAGACCCTGTTCCCCATCTCTTCTCAGACCCACCTCCCTTACTCCTTGCCCCTTCAAGTCTGCTAATTTTTTTAGGGCCTATGGATTCTAAGTTGTATTCCCCAAATGCCCTTGGATGTGGGTCCATTCCCTGGACCCTCATCAACTTACCCAGTGCCATACCCTCAAAGAAAACTGAGTCTCCTTCTTCCAGCAGCTGTCAATCACTGATAGATTCTTATTTGGGGCTGGGGCTTCTTGCCCACCTCCCTATCCATGCTGGGGTTTTGTTACACTGGGGATTTTGATTTTTGTTTGATGCTGATAGTCGAACTGGATTCCATGCTAAAAACACCCTCTGCCACTGAGCTACATTCTTAACTCTTATAAGAGATCTTTGACAGGCACTGCAGTAATAATTTTAAAAATGCTCTTTTTTTTAAGGCCAGGCGTGGTGGTGTACGCCTTTAATCCCAGCACTCGGGAGACAGAGGCAGGAACTCTATGAGTTCCAGGCCAGCCTGGTCTCCATAGTGAATCCAGGGCCGCTAGGGCTACAGGGAGACCCTGTCTCAAAAAGACCAAAAAAAAAAAAAAAAATTTAAATTAAAAAATGCTGTTTTTGCTGTAACATACATGATATCCTTTCTACCTCCCCTTTTTCTCTTGCAGTCTTTGAATTGTACTATAATCTAATTTTCTTCTTTATTTGGCATAGTGTGATTCAAATACATTGGGAAATATTCTATTCAAATGTAAATTTTAAATCTGCTCTGGGTTGTGTTTTTCATAGACACGAATTGCCTATACAGCTGGGATCGCCAATATTTGGAACAGTAGTCGAAGTCAGAGATGCAGATGGTTTCCCAGTTCACGAAGGCACTGGCCAAGTATTTTTAGGTTGTTTTATATTTGTTGATTGAGAATAATTTTTTTTCAAAAAGAAAAAATCAGATATGCTTATTTTATTTTCTTGATGTTTTTATGTCCACTGTATTTTTCAGTGATAAATTTTATTTTTTTCATAATCATGAACCGTGTAATGTTTATGTAAGTTATATCATGTGCAGTTTCTAATTTAAAACATAACTTGGACTGTTAGCATTTATAGAAAAAACTGTCTAAGTATTCTAAATATTTTTTAAAATCACACATTTTTAGAAATAAATTTTATTTATCCCTTTGTTAATTTATTGGTTGTGATATCATCAAGTAGCAGTAAAAGTTAGCCTCATTTTTAATATATATATTCAAATTTTGCTTTTTAGTAGTTGAATATTGAGGTTATTTCTGATTTTGATATTGTTAAATAGAATTTCATTGGATTTTTATGACATTGGAGTTTTTATCTTTGGAAGGTGGGAAAAACAGAGTGTGTTTTCTTGATAATGAAATGACAGTACGTCTTGGCACCATGAGAGCCACAGGAGACTTTGTGACTGTGAAAGATGGAGAAATATTTTTCCTGGGACGAAAAGATAGCCAGATCAAACGTCATGGCAAACGTCTTAACACTGAACTTATACAACAGGTAGAACTGTGTAAATATTGAATATCTACTCATACATTAGGCAGAAGAGTCAGCTGCTATCAGTTTTCTATGCTGGATTCTCTCTCAGTATCATCTTTATATTAGTAATGAATTACAGTAAAAAATAAAGTACTGGGTGTGGTGACACATGCCTGTAAACAGCACTCAGGAGGCTGAGGCAGAATGATCTTGAGTTCAAGGCCAGCTTGAGCTACTGTCTTAAAAAACAAAAACAACAACAAAATGTAGTAAAAGCATGGATGATTCAATGTCATGAAGATACTTTGTTTTATTTTGTTTTGGAGACAGGTCTGTTTATGTCTCCATAGGTCTGAAACTCTGAGTTTTCCTGCCTTAGTCTTTCTAGTGTTGATGTTACAGGTGTGAATCACCAAGCCTACCTGGAGATGGCTGTTTTAAAAATAAGTAACAAAATAGATTTTGAGATGAAAATACATTGGTTTATTTGCTTTTGGATGTATTATTACATGTATTATTACTATTTTTAAATTTTTGATTTATTTTTATTTTATGCATACGGGTGTTATGCCTGCATGTATATAAGTGCACCCGTGTTGTGCAGTGCCTCAGAGGACAGAAGAGGGTATTGGAGCCCCTGGAACTGGAGTTTTGGATGGTTATTAGCTGCCATGTGGGTGCTGGCATTCGAACCCAGGTCTTCTGCAAAAACAGCCAGCGCTGTTAGCCAATGAGCCATTTCTCCAGCCTTGAATGTATTATTTTTGAAAACTGTTAAGAACTCTATGTCCTAGTAGTAAATGACAATAGCAAATGATTGTTTTTGTTTTTTTTTTTTTTTTTAGATCCCTGGTATTTTCTGGAAGTTAGTTCAGCTGTAATGATTTTAGAAACAAATTTGAGCATTTAGGAAGTTCCTTTTTAAATGCTCCCATTAGTAAATAAGGATAATCTCTCTATAGGTTGCTGAAGAACTTCAACAAGTGGAATCCTGTGCAGTTATGTGGTATAATCAGGAAAAATTAATTCTCTTCATAGTATCCAGAGATGATTTAATAAAGGATTGCGTTTTAAAAGAATTGCAGAAACATCTTCCAAATCATGCCATCCCTGATGAAATTGTGTTGATTAATACTCTACCATTTACATCTCATGGTAAAATAATTTAAAGTGGATACATATACAAATGTTTGTTATGAGGAACTGATACAGCTCCAGAGACAAAACAGTCTCATGCTGTGTCTGCAAGGAAGGAAACCTAAGAAAACAGGTGTGTGTGTGTGTGTGTGTGTGTGTGTGTGTGTGTGAGAGAGAGAGAGAGAGAGAGAGAGAGAGAGAGAGAGATAAAGAAATTCAATCTGCGTTTTGAGGCCTGAAAACCAGGGAGCCAGTGATATAAATCCCCCAGGCAAGGCATGAGGACATGAGATCTCCCAACTCCGTGAGGAGGAATAGGGGATGAATTTCCCCTTCTTTTGCCTTTTGCTCTGTTCTAGCCCTCAAGGGATGGGCTATTACCCAACCAATTTGGGAAGGCAGTCTCCTTTTCTGAGTTCACTGATTTCATATGTTAATCTAAACCTGAACTACCCTTATAGGTGCACCCAGAAACAGTGTTTAATTAACGTTTAAATTGTGAACCAAAGCTATGACCCACTCAAGTTGACATATAAAATGAAGCACCACAATGGTAGAGGTAAAACTGCTGGGTACTATTGAGCTTCAAATTATACTTTTTTGATGACAGGATCTTGCTATGTATTTCAGGGTGACACACATCTCTAATCCTAGCATTGGGGAGGCTGAGGCAGGAAGATTGCCAAGTTTGACACCAACCTGGGCTGCATAGTAAGACCCTGCCTTTTTAAAAAAGGTATGGGGCCAGTGAGATACTCAGCTGGGAAGAGTGCTTCTTGTACACACCTCATGGTCTGAGTTCAATAACCAGATCCCATGGTGGAAGGAGAGAACCAACTCCTGAAAGTTGTGTTCTGACTTCTGTGGAGGGAGGGTAGGTGGTGGGGGACTGGCAATACAGTTTTAAAAGTATGTTATATGTTGATCACTGTGTTACAGAGCTTTCCCAGTGTTATTTTCATTTAACACATACTTCAAAATGTAATAATTGCTGTTGCCAATATGTTTTTAGAATTTTTATTATGATTTTTTGGAGACATGGTCTCAATATATAGCTCTGGCTGTCTGGAACTCACTATGTAGACCAGGCTGGTTGAACTCACAGAGATCCACCTGCCTCTGCCTCCCAGGCACTGGGATTATAGATGTGTACCACCTTGCCTGGCATGTTTTTAAATTTTTAAAAAAGATTTTTAGTTAACATAAAAAATAATGGACTTCATTATGATGTTTACATACATGTATCATTGTACCTTGCTCATATTCAGCACCCCCACTTCAGCCCTCCCACCAAACACTATGTCTTCAGCTCTTTAAATGAGATAAACAGCATCTCCTTGCCTCTTATGTGCCATTCATGGTATTCTTGTAGTATTGACCTAGTTTCTTCAAAATTGATTATCTATGACCAACTCGTCTAATGATTTCTAAACTTTACAGTGAAAAGTGTGTGTGACTGAGAGACACAAAATGACTCTGGGATGAATTTGTTTATTTGCTTACTTATGGGGTTAGGACCTGTGCATGCTAAGTACATGCTCTTCTGCTGAGCTGTATCCTTAGCCGCATGGTTAAATTTTAAATGTTATTTTAAAACATGTTATTTCTTTTTATATTAAGGCAAAATAAATTTTTCTGAGTTAAACAAGATATATTTAGAATACCTAAACTCACAGCCTAAGAATAAACTCTGTGGAAAAGAGGAACTTTGGGAAAAATTACAGTATTTATGGAAGGTATGACTTCTTAAATGCAAATTTATTTTTATAGAGTGTATTTAAGGAAATTTTAGCATCCCTAGTAAATCAGTAAAAAAAAATTAAGAATGTTGCTGCTGCCCAGGTGTCAGGTGGTATACCTTTACTGATTGTTTGTGCTAAAATAAAGGCTAGGTTGTTTTATTAAATGCCTCACAAAAAAATTCACTGAAAGTGAAAGGGTCAAAAAAAGTGCAAATATCCACTTGCCTATGTGGACCTGACTTCTCTGGGAGAGGCAGGTGCAGTACCACCAGTCTTGCCAGAGCTGTGGAAACAGTTAAGCCATGTTGGACTGTCTATTGCACTTTGAATTATCTCCTTAGTCCCAAGAAACCTGTAGTAGCAGCATCTGTGTTTCTGTTTGAGGGATTTTTTTCAATGTGTGTGTCTCAATAGGTAAGTAAATTTGCTTAGATAAAATACAGATTTTTTTTTCTTTTTCTTAATGGTTCTGTGAAGAGGATGTATTTGGTTTGTCTTTTAAAATAAAGGATATGTAGGAGAAATTCTCAACACTCCACTTTTCCTGTAAAGCAATCTTGGCTTACATGAAGTAGTTGAGGATTGATATTATCTTCATAGTAGAGAATATTAGCTAGTGTATTAAGGGCTTATAATTGATAAAGCAGATTTTTTTGTGACCCTCCTTATTTTTAAGATAGAAAACTGCCCTAAAGGAAAGTGTATTTTGCATTGTAGAGTGAATTTGTGACAAAATTGGTATCATAATGATGCTTATTAATATAGAGAAAATGATCTTAGATTTGATTACTGACATTTTTTTTCTGAATTTTTATGTCACTGTCTTTGGGGTGGGTACTGCCATCTCTCTGTCTTCCTTACTTGTAAGTGATGGAGTCTTTTGACTTGGGCCTGTCACCATTTCCCCCTTCCCTCATCTCTAGTCTGTTTTGAGTCTCCCAGAAGATGCCTTGAAGGTTCCAGATGAATCACTCTTCTTAAATAGTGGTGGAGATTCCTTGAAGTCCACATGGCTCTTCAATGAGATTGAAAAGCTTACTGGTTCATCCATACCTGGGCTTCTGGAAATTATTCTCAGCAGTTCCATCCGAGAGGTTTACAACCACATCATTCAAAGTGTGTTTACAGATGAAGACCTGAAAATCAACCAGAGTTATGCCACAAAAAGGAAATTCAGTGACATTAATCAAGATAAAACCATTGGAAAACTTTCCCATCAGAAGTCTGCCTTGCCTTTAAGTTATGACAGTGAAACAAATGCTTTTATTGCACTGAGCAGAGGGAGTCAAATCTTGTTACAGACTAACACTCAGAATTGGAAAAGCTTAGATCCTCCAGTTCTTACTGAAAAGTTGAAAGACACACAGGTTTCTCAGGAGGGGAAACCTGTGGTAAAGACTGAGAAGATGGTGTTGCGTGTGAGGTGGACATCAGACACAGGCAAGTGTGTTGACGCTTCCCCTCTGGTGGTGATACCAGCTGCTGATAAGTCATCCACAACTGTGTATATTGGCTCCCACTCTCATAGAGTGGAGGCAATTGACCTTTACTCAGGAAAGATGAAATGGGAACAGCTTTTAGGAGATCGAATTGAATCTTCAGCATGTGTATCTAAGTGTGGAAACTTTATTGTAGTGGGTAAGTTTCTGATTTTGAAGTTTTTAGAGTTAGATTGATTTATAGAATGCTGATAAGACCAAGTTAAGTTTTAAAGAAAACTGTGGTTGTTTTGGTTTTTGTCAGAGGAATGGCTAACTGATTAACAGTGGCCTGGGGTCAGAGTCCTGGATGTAAACTTACTTCTGTAGTTGCTCTAAGCCCTGTGAGACTTAGAACTTCAGTTTTCACATGCGTAAAGTGGGAACAAGAATAAAACTTGTTGCTGTGTCACACATTGTGCCAAAATCCATGGCTGACAGCATCAAATACTTTTTTCTTACTTACTTCCTGGGTCAGGAAGTTTGGAGTCTCTTACCTGGTGGTGGTCAAGGTCTCATGCATCTACGTATGCATCTAAAAACTTTACATGGAGTGGAAAATATGCTTCAAAGATGGCTAATTCACATCGCTGTTAGCAGAAGATCTCAGTTCTTAGCTAGTTTTTGCTGAGAAGCATCAGGTCTTGCCACTTGAGCTTCTCTGTAGGCTGCTTAAATGTCTGCACAGTATGGTAGCTAACTTCGCTCAGAGTGGGTAATCCCAGAGAAGTCACAGGAGTAACATGGTACCTTCTGTGACCTAGTCTCTGAAACTAGAGACCATCGTTTTTGTTTAGTTCTGCTCAATAGATACCACGAAGTCCAGCCCATGTTTGAGGGGAGAGAATTAGTCTGTATCTCTTGAAGAACATCTAAGCATTTGTGGTTGTACTTTAAAACCACCACATCAAAGTAGTTTGGAGGAGGATTAAGTTCACTTCATGAATCCACTAGTGCAGCATAAGGTACAAACAAAGCTCTGAGTGATGGTTACCAGCCGCAGCTGTTTTCATTAAGATTAAGGTGGCTTTTACTTTCCTAGGAATGTGGAGGTCCCACCTAATGTCTATCTGCACCAGTCATTTTTATCCCCCAACTACATTAAGTTGTATTCCATATACTCATGGATTCTGTCAAAGCTTTTCAGACCAGATGTTTAGCTAAGAGCATATTCCTACATACACTGTTCTGGCTGAGATCCACTTGAATTTGATCCTTTCAGTTTAAACACATTTTGAAAAGTATAGTTAGGACATTTTCGGTTATACAATGTATATGATGCAGTTGTACAGTAAATATAAGTTCTGGAGCAGTTCCCATCCTTAAAATCAGCACACTGAGAACCCTATTTGTATCTTGTATGTCTAAACTCAATGCCTATAATCATTCAGAACTTTAAATTATTTTTATTAACAAAATCCATACAAACTTGCTGTTGTCTGTTTTTCCATTTTGGCAGGTGTGTATACATCACATAACCATTACTGTAACCAAGAGTCCTTAACTCCAAAAATTTCATGTGCTGCTTTGTAGTCACTCCTCCCTCTATTTCTCTTTTCTGCTCATCAATTTTGCATTTTACAGAAGATACAAATGAAATCAGGCTGTGTTGGCTTTGATTGTGGCTCTTCCTAGCACAGTGGCTTGAGGTTTAGCCATCCTGCTGCATGGCTCATTATTAATACTTAGTTTGGGTGGGTGTATTATGGTCTGTTCATCCATTCACATTTGGGTTATTCCAGGCTTGGTAATTATAAATAAGTCTGCTGTAAAACATTTATGAATGAGCTTTTGTGTAAACATAAGTTTTAATTCCATTTGGGTCAATACCTAGCAAGGGAGGGCTGATATACTATATGGTTAAGTGTATGGTTAGGAGCATATTCCTACATATGCTGTTCTGGTTGAGATCCACTTGAATTTGATCCATTTTAAACATATGTTGAAAAGTATAGTAAGGAAATTTTCAGTTACACAGTGTATATGGTACAGTTGTCAGGACTGCACCAAGTTGTTACAGAACACTGCCAAGCTGTTGTCTGAAACAGCTGGACAGTTTTGCATTTCCATCATCAATGTGTGAGCAGTCCAATTGCTAGGACTTTGTATTATGTTTCTAATGTTTTTTTTTTCTTCCATTCAAATAGTTGTAAAGTAGTATTTCATAATGGTTTAACTTGCATTTCCCTAGTGATTAAAGGAGTTGAGCCATTTTTTATGAGCTTGTTTGCTATTTGTGTATCTTTTATGCAAGGTCTGTTTAAATCTTGAACTTATTGTTGTTTTTTGAAACATTTTTTGAAAATTTTTTGAAAAATTTAAATCCTCATTGTTGTTTTTTGAAAATTAATTAATTATTTTTTAAAATTTTTGTCTTTTTGAGACAGGGTCTCCCTGTAGCTCCAGCTGTCCTGGAATTCACTGTGTAGACCAGGCTGGCCTGGAACTCACAAAGATCCACCTGCCTCTGCCTCCCAAGTGCTGGGATTAAAGGCGTGCACTGCCACTCCCAACCAAATTTATTTTTATTTTATGTGTATGAGTGATGAATGTTTTTCCTGCATGAATGTTAAGTGTACTATGGGTGTGCAGTACCTACAGAGGCCAGAAGAGGGCATCAGATCCCCTGGAACTGGAGTTACAGGAGATTGAGAACAGCCATGTGGATGCTGGGAAGTGAACCCAAGTCCTCTGCAACAGCAATAAGTGCTTTTAACCACTGAGCCATCTCTTCAGCCCCCTGGTTTTAATTTTTTTGAAACATGGTTTCACTATATAGGCCAGACTGGCTTTGAACTTACAACCTTCCTGCCTCAGCCTCCCAAGTGCTGGGATTATAGACCTGTACCACCATGCCTGGCTAACATAGTGTCTTCTGAAAAGAGGTTCTTAATTTTGATAAACTCCAATTTATCTTTTTATAAAAATTGGGCTGGAGAGCTGGCGCAACTGTTAAAGGCTCAAGGCTCACAACCAAAAAGACAAAAATGGGTCATGCTTTTGGTGTCCTATCTAATAAATTTGCATACCTCAAGTCACAAAAAAAAATTCTTTTGGATTTTCTTTTGGAATTGAACTGAACTAAAAGAAAATTTTTATTGCCTGCTGAATCCTGGAAGTTCTGCTATGAAAAAATTCCTCATCACTGATACATTACTACTGTCTAGCCATTGCCAGGTAAAAAGATGGCACAAGAAGTATCTTGGAAATTGAATCTCAAGTGAGAGCAATGACCATGGCCATGGGTAGAGCCAGGTGGCATGTAGGCAAATAAAATTGTCCTAATAGCTGTCCTCAGAATTGATCTGATTTACGTGCACCCAGGTATCTTTAGTGACCATCATCTTGTAGGTTTTTTACCACTTGTACTTGACTGCATCAAGGTCTGGGATCCCTGCACTACCTTCTACATGGCCACAAGCTGGGAAAAGCAGCTTAGTGCAGTTACTAAGAATATAGGCTTGTCTGGAACCTTGATCTCTTAGATTGAAATACTGACTCTGTTGCATAGTAACTTTTAATTTTTTCCCTAGTAAGGTAATCTATTTCATTGTTGTCATCCATAAAAGTGTGGCTGTAATCCTGCTTGCTTCACTGTGAGGATTAAATGAGCTAGCAGACATAAAATATTTAAGAAAGTAAGCTGGAGATGTAGCTCAGTTGGTAGAATGCTTGCCTAGCTAGGGTTCAGTCCCTAACACTGCATTAACCAGGTGTGATGGTGTACACCTGTAGTCCCAGCATCAGGAGGTGGAGGCAGGAGAATCAGCAGGTCATCCTCTCCTACATAGAGTATCTGAGGCTAGCCTGAGCTAAAGACCCCATCTCAAAGGAAAAAGAACCTGACACATAGAAAATGTCCAATAAACTGTTACTAATGCTAGCATTTCCTGAACAGCTGTGGGCTGAGCAACTATCCTCATTGTATTATTATAATGACGCTTGAAGTAGGTAAATCCACATTAGGAATAATAATTGGAGGCTCAGTGATGCTCGGTAATCTTTCCAGTGACAGCCATGATGAGATTTGAATTCAGTTCTGTAACAGCTTCTCCCACAGCATGTGTCATTGTTTTCTTGGTATGAAATACTTTATTGCACATACCTTTATTTATTTAGTATGTGTATATGCACATGTATGCATGCCACAGTGTGCACATGGAGGTCAGAGGGCAACTTATAGGAGTGATTCTCTCCTTCTACCGTGTGGCTCTCAGAGATAAAACTTAGGTCCTTGGGCTTTGCAGCAAGCCCCTTTAACCTGCTGAATTATCTTGCTGGTCTATAGTACTTTTGAAAATAAGGGACTGTTGGATGTTGTGGCATTTGCCTTTAACTCTAGCACTTGGGAGTCTAAGGCAGAGGATCTCGAGTTCAAGGCCAGCCTGGGCTATGTAGTGAGGGTACAGGGTGGGTAGGTAACTGTTAAGTATTTTACACAGGTGACTACTGTTCAGTTTCTGCTTTATGTTGCTAAAATTTAAATCACATGAGTGAACAAATATATATGAAGAACTTGAATATAAATTGTCATGATTTAACCTATAGAATCATTTGATTGGGCTGGAGAGATGGCTCAGTGGTTAGTAGCACTTCTTGCTCTTCCAAAGGACTCTAGGTTGGTTCCCTGCACCCATATCAGGTGGCTCACAAATACCTGTAACTCTAGCTCCAAAGGATATAATGCTCTCTTCTGGACTCTGGGCATCCGCACACATGTGGCATTCATACACCCATAACAATAAATCTTAAAAAAATATTTTGTGTTGACTTCAGTCTCATCTTTTATATTTTGTTTCTTAAAGGCTGTTATAATGGAGTAGTTTATGTTCTAAAAAGTAACACTGGAGAAAAATATTGGATGTTTACTACTGAAGATGCTGTCAAAAGCTCACCAACAATGGATCCAACCACAGGACTCCTTTACATTGGATCTCATGATCAGCATGCATATGCTCTAGATATTTATGTAAGAATCCATTTCATCAGCCCCACACCATAAACAGAAGAGTGGCAAGTAACTGTTAGATGCAGTTGGGTCTGGAAACAGGTGTTAACTATTGCCCAAGGATAACAGTTGGTCTGGAGAGAAGTGATTATTAAATCTTAGTATCTTTTAGATGTTTTTAGCTTCCTTTCAAATAATTTTTGAAATATAAAGAACTTTATTTTTATATCAGAGGAAAAAGTTATATCAGAGAAAATCAGAAAGTAAAATAGCAGTAAGATATTTTAATACCTAATTATGAAAATATAAAAATTTGTGCAAAAATTAGAAAATTAAAAGAAGCAAGAATTTGTTTTGAAAAAATAACTGAATGAATCAAAACCCATAAGTATAGTAGAAGTAAAGAGCAAATATAGAAAAACAAAGACTCAGATAGAAAAACAAAAGCAAGGGTCACAAACACACAGGACCTCCAAGAAGTGGCTAGCAAGACTTTGAGACCTTTTCAGGGTGAAAATCAGAAACTAGGAGATTACAGAAATAATTACAGAAAGCATGAGAATGATAACACTGAATGCTGAGGAGTGGCAGGAGCTTGTGTAACTCCTTGAAGCCTCCGTGGAAAAAGTTGGTAGAATGCTCACCTAGCATGCTTGAAGCCTTGAGTTGGATTCCTAGCACCACATAAACCAGATGTGGTAGCACATGCTTGTAATCCCAACACTCAGAAGGTGGAAGCAGGAGGATTAGTAATTCAGTGTCATCCTTGGCTACATAGTGAGTTTGAGGTCAACCTGGGCTTCATGAGACCCTGCTTCCCAGTACCCACATGGCAGCTAACAACTGTCTCTAACTCCAGTCCCAGGGGATCCGACAGCCTCTTCTGACTTCTGTAGGCATTGCACAACATGGGTGCACTTACCTATATGCAGGCAATACATGCATATACATAAAATAAAAATAATAAAAATTGGAAAAATTGAAAAAGAATGTGCACTGTGACACACTAAATAAATAAATAAATAAATAAGATTAAAAAATCCAGTTGGCTATGTAGGTAAGTTTTATATCCTTTGATCAGTAAATTTTTTTCTAGGATTCAATCCTTACAAAATAATCAGAAACACAGACCAAGCTGTTTTATAGTATTGAGTATCAAGTAGAGAGATAATTTTGTTTATTTGGAATATAATGTATTAAATTATGTTTCAGTCATTTTATAAAGTCAATGAGAGAAACATGATGTCAGAGTTGAAGATTCATTTATATTAGCACTTGAGGGCACATACCCACCACTGAAAGATCAAAAAGGGAAAAAATACTAAATACTCAAATAATAACAGTATCTCTGAGTTATGTGCCAGAGAGAGACCAGGAGAAGAGGGAGGGGAGGAGAGGGAAGGAGAGGAGAGGAAGAGGAAGAGGGAGGGAGGAGGGGGAAGAGAGAACTGAAGAAAAACCTGTAGTCCTTTGGATGGTGGTTTGTAGCTCAGTAGTGTAGCATCTGGAAGGCTACACTACTGGCTCTCCCCAGCACCTCCAGAAGAACCAAAATAAGCAAAAACTTCATTAGTCAAACAGAATAACGTCATGGGAGGTGGGATTTGTTAAGCAATGGCAAATCCAATTAATTTGCATGCTTCTTTGCAGGCGAAGAGGTGTATCTGGAAGTTAACGTGTGGAGGCGCTGTGTTTTCCTCTCCGTGTTTAAGCCTGACTCCCCACCATTTGTACTGTGCTACACTGGGAGGACTTTTAATGGCTGTAGATCCTGTAGGCATAAAAACAAGACAATTTTATTACTTATCTTTATGTTTTTAATTTTTGCTTTGGATTTTGAACGTTTGAGTACTTTTCAGTTACGTATAATCCATGTATTACTGAGCCACATTGTGAGTACCTGGAAAAATGAGAAAATCTTTCATGTTTTTATTTTTTGTTTTGTTTTGTTTTATTTCCTCTGAGACAGGGTCTCCCTGTAGTCCCAGCTGGCCTGGAACTCGCTATGTAGAGCAGTCTAGCCTCTATCTCACAAACATCTACCTGCCCCTGCCTCCTGAGTGCCTGGATAAAAGGTGTGTACCACCATGCCCTGTTAAAACTTTTAAAAATTAAGGGCTCGAGAGATGGCTCAGCAGTTAAGAATACTTGCTGTTCTTCCAGAGGACTGAGGTTTGATTCCCAGCCCCCACAAGGTGGCTAATAATCATCTGTAACCTCAGGTTCAGGGGGTCCAACACCCTTTTCTGGCCTCTGTGGGCATTGCACACCTGTGGTGCACTTACATATATACAGGCAAATACTCATACACAAAATAAAAAACAAACTATTTTAAAAATAAACATTTTTAAATTATTTAAATTTTTATTTATTTATGTATTTATTATATGTACATGTACCTGGCTTATTTTAACTTTTTTAGACAGGATTTTCTTGTCATATTAAGAACTTCTGTATTGTAGGGCTAGGTGGTGTTATGTTTTTCTGATTTTTTTTTTTTTTTTTTTTTGTTTTTTTTTGGGACAGGGTCTCTGTAGCCCCAACTGTCCTGGAACTCACTATGTGGACCAAGCCGGCCTTGAACTCACAGAGATCTGCCTGCCTCTGCCTCCCGAGTGCTGGGACTACAGGCGTGCACCACCATGCCCGGCACTTTTTTCTAATTTTTAAAATTGTTTTTCTGTACAGAGCTAGGTCTTATATGCTAGTTTTCCTTTGTTTTGTTTTGGGTTTTTTTGTTACTGCTTTTAGACGGGTAATTGATTAGTAGAACAACTTTAAATGCTGTGACTTGCTTTTTGCCATGACAGGCTACTGGGAGCATAATGTGGAAACACTCCTGTGGGAAGCCACTCTTCTCTTCCCCACAGTGTTGCCAACAGTATATTTGCATTGGCTGTGTAGATGGCAATTTACTCTGCTTTACTCACTTGGGAGAGCAGGTAAAATGTTCTGATTCTGTTTTGTATATCTTTTCTCCCCAGGCACTGGAGTTAACCCAGGGTCTGGCTCTTTCATGATCAGCAAGTGCTGTGTCACTGAGCTATAGTCTCCTTTTCTTATTTTATCCCTCCCTCCCTCCCTCCCTTCCTCCTTCTCTCTGTCTCTCCCTCCATCCCTCGCACATGTATGTTGTGGGATGTGCATGGCTGTGTGTATTCGTGTTTGAACGTGTGGGGCACAAGCATGGGCATGCATGTGTGCGTGCGTGCGTGCATGCATGCTGCACACCTCGAGTGGAGGCCCAAGGTTGACTTTGATTCTCCACCTTACATATTGAGGCAGGTTCCTCTGCTGAACCCTCAGTTTGCCTTTTTGGTCAGTCTGGCTTGCCAGTTTGCTCAGGAGGTTCCCTATCTCCTCTTCCCACGTGTTGGGATTACAGGTAGGCCACCATGCCCAACTGCCTCTTAAATGGGCTCTGAAGATCGGACTTCAGTCCTCACACTCGCATGACAAGGTTTTTCTGCAAAGCTGTCACCCCCAGTTTTACGCATCTTTCTCAAAAGCACAGTTTGTGTCAACAACTGATAAAAAATTTTAAGCATTTATTGTTCAGCTCCCTCTGTTAAGATTAGTTCTGTTTTAATTGTTAAGTCTTAGGTTTCTGTTTATCTTAAATTTTATTTATTGTGTGCATATGTGTATGGGTGCAGGTGCACATGCTACCATGTGGGTATGGAGATCAGGAGATCAGAAGATAACTCTGAGGAGCCGGTTCCCTCCTTCCGCCCTGAGTTCTAGGGATCAAACTCAGGCTGTCAGGCTTGTGTGGCAAGCTCTTCTACCTGCTGAGCCATCTTGGGGCTGTTCTCTTATTTTTTTGTTGTTATACTTCTGCCATCTCTCCTAATTTTAAAAATCTTAACCAATTTCTACTCAGTTTTATTTTAGCTTCTGTAGAAGCTATAATTGTTTTAAAGGCCCTTGCTTATAAACATGAAATCTCAAACCTCATATACAACCAAAACTATTGTGGCATTCCCATTCCTAAGTCTTGACTGTAGGCTTCTTGTGGGTTAAATTAGCTCTTTCCTTGGGAACACAGTTTCTACTTCTGTATTTACAAATCATTGCCATTTACGGCATTTACGGTTGTTGATTTGGGGATCATTTTTGATGTTTCAAGTGCAGGAGCTCCAATAGCTAAGCCCCTCACTGATGACTGGGCTGGCTGGATGCTTTCATTCTATAGCCCCCTTCATCACCCTGTGGTTCCTTTGCTCTGGGCAACACATAATTACCTGTGAAGAAATGCTTGCCTTATTTTTATTTACAATAGATTCCTTAGAAGATGCACACATTGTTACTGTTTTATTTTTAAACCTCAGAAAAATGAAAGTGAATTCTTGTTTTTTGGCTTTTTGTCTGCCTGTTTGTAGTCCAGGCTGGCCTAGAACTTGAGATCCCCCTGCTTTTATAGATATGCACTACCATGCCCTGCTGACAATGATTTTATACAAGTCAGAGACAAAACTAAGATTAAAAATCATATTTTTTTCAGGGCTGGAGAGATGGCTCAGTGGTTAAGAGCACTGGCTGTTCTTGCAGAGGACCTAGGTTAGATTCCCAGCACCCACATGGCAGCTAATGACTGTAACTCAGTTCCAGGGGATCCAACACCTTCTTCTGAACTCCTCAGGTGTTGCACAACAGGGGTGCACTTACACACATGCAGGCAATACACTTAGACACATAAAAACATAAAATATTTTTTAATCATATTTTGCAAATATACCATTTTTCATCTTTTTTTGTTATACTGCTATGGCTGTACTTTTGTTATGTTCTTTACGGTGTTGAGGATCAAACCCAGGGCCTCTCTGGCACTGAGCAGTATAACCTTAGGATATATCCCCTCCCCCTTTTTTTTCTTTTGAGATGGGTATTCCAAAGTTCCTCAGAAGGTCTTGAACCCTTGATCCCCCTGCCTCAGCCTCCCAAATAGAGTAGCTGGGATTCTAGTCCTATGCTACCAGGCCCTGCTTACTATGAATTTGTAAATACTACTTAGACTTACATCTTTTTCTCCTGTGTCTGTTCATCAAAATAATAGTAGACAGGTTTATCTGAAAGCATATAATATATAGCCACACAGCAGAGACAAAACTCACAGATACTTTTGTCTAAAGCTCTAAATTATTACATGTAAACTTATCTTTTCAACCCAATTCCTTCTCCATTTGGAAAACTTGAGTAAGATACTGCTTTTTTCTTTTTCCCCTTAGGGCAAGGTTTGGTACCCAGGGCTATAGGCGTGCTAGTTAACTGCTGTACCATTGAGCACCATCCTCTGTCCAAGATTCAGTTTTTAACAAGATACGTCCAAAACCTGCTGCAGTTTTATGTTTGAACTCAGTGTCTCTGAACATCCCAGTAATAATTCTCAAGTGTCTCCTGTGTGTTCTAGTGTCTCTTGTCCTGGATGTTGTTGCTAGGACAGAGGTCTAGGATGAGGTGCCAACTTCTCAGAATCAGTCCTTCTCCTCTGTGTGCAGAGTTGCCAAATACGCTACACCTCTTGCGTTTGTATTAATAAATCTTGCAGAACTTTAAGGAAGTATTGTCACAGCTAGATGAATTGATCGTCATCCCTCTTCTCCTTGAAAGGTTTGGCAGTTCTCTGCTGGTGGACCAATCTTCTCATCCCCGTGTATCTCCTCATCACAAGAAATATTTTTTGGTTCCCATGATTGCTTTATCTACTGTTGTAGCATGAAAGGTCAGCTCCAGTGGAAATTTGAAACTACATCAAGGGTATATGCAACGCCTTTTGCTTTCCAGCACCACAGTTCCAACAGTGAGACACTGCTGGCAGCGGCATCTACGGATGGGAAGCTGTGGATCTTGGAGTCTCAAACTGGACAGCTGCGAAGTGTGCATGAACTTCCTGGAGAAGTCTTCTCTTCTCCTGTGGTCTGGGAATCAATGCTTATAATTGGGTGCAGAAATAATTATATTTACTGTCTGGATTTATTGGGTGGCAATAAAAAATAAGTGTAGTCTCTATAAGTATATATTTGAGAGATGGTTGGAAATATGTTATCATAGATGTGGATAGTTTTATATTAAAGATTTATATTTTGGTTAAGAAATTTGTCTACTATATTTTATAGAGAACAAATGTATTTTACTTCCTGTGGGAGCAGCAAAAGCTTTTAGGAGGAGAGGACAAAATATCTCAATATATTTATTAGCTCCTTTTTTATTTTTGTTTTTGAGATAGGGTCTCACTATGTAGCCTCAGCTGGCCTAGAATTCACTACATAGACCATCCCAGGTTGACCTCCATCTCACAGTGATCCGCTTGCCTTGTGCTCTCCAATCAAAGGCATGTGCCACCACACCTGGCTTTAGTAGCGCTTTAAAAAACTTAGGTATGATGGTTCATTTTATGTGTATGTATATAAAATATTTGTTTTAATTGGTCTAAAGGATGCTGCAGTGGTATGAATATTTTTATCAAAACTTCTCCCCTGTGAGGTATTAAGAATCTGGAAACTTAATCCCACTATGGCATTTAGGATAGGGCCTTAGATAATTTGGAGCTAAGCCAGTGGGACTGGAACTTTATAAGAGAGACCAGAGTCAATATGCCATGTGGTACCCTGCACTATCTTGGTTGGGATTTTGTAGGTTTCTACCAGTAATGAAGGGACATAGAACCAGATGTGGCTGCTGGATCTTGAACTCTTCTGCCTTGAGAACTAATTCAAATAAACCTTTATTATTTATAGTCAACCTGTGATATTCCATTGTAGAAAAATAGCTAGTAAAACACTATTTCTTGACATATATGTGAGGATGTCTTTGGAAGAGATTAGCATTTGAAGTTGAGTCAATAGATGGAGAAGATCTGTCTTCACCAGTGTCCCACCATGGGTGGCATTATCCTATCTGATGATGGCCTGAATAGAACAAAAAGGCAGAGGAAGGGAAACTATTCTTGAGCTAGGCTCACTGTCTTTTTCTGCCCCAAAACATTGGGGCTTCTAGTTTGGGAGCTCCAGACTCTGGGACTTAGCAGTAGCTACTGTCTCTCTCAGGCTTGCGAGCTACACCATCAGCTCCCCTCTTGAGGCCTTGGCCTTGGGCTGAATTGAACTATACCACAGGCTTTCCAGCTTGCAGACAACAAATGGTGGCACTTCCCAGCCTCCATAATCTGATGAGCCAATTCCCAGCTCTTTCTAAAAAAAATCTTTTATGTATATGAGTGCTTTGCCTGCATGTATGTAAGCGCAATGCTTATGAAGGCAAAAATGGGCATTGGATCCCCTAACCTGGAGATGGTTGTTACCTGCCATGTGGCTGCTGAGAACCAAACCTGGTCTTCTGCAAGACCAACCTGTGCTCTTAACTACTGACCCATCTCTCAAGCCCCCTATTTCTCTTCGTTTATGGAAATAAAATCTACTGGTTGTTTCTCTGGAGAAATTATATTAGGCTATACTTTTATTTTATGTGTATGTGCCTGCATGTGTGTAAGTACACCTGTGTCATGCAGTGCCTGCAGAGGACAGAAGAGGGTGTTAAATCCCCTGGAACTGGAATTATGGACTGTTGTTAGCTGCCATATGGGTGCTGGGATTTGAACCCAGGTCTTCTGTAAGAACAGCCAGTGCTCTTAACCACTGACCCATCTCTCCACCTAATTTTATACATTTTATATATAGTATATAAATACTCTTCCATTTCTCTCTCTCCACCTAAATACATCTAATCAGTTATGTTTCTCCAGGGAATCCTATTAAGCCAGTTCCTGTGTTTCAGGGGGGGTTTGAAGACTCATGGAAAAAGATGAGAATATACGTAATGAGTTAAAAAACAATAAAAATTGCATCATTTACTATTTACATTGAAATTTGCGGCAAAAGTATTTTAAAAAATATTTTATGCATATGAGTATATTGCCTGCATGTACGTGTATACCCGTGTTATGCATTGCCTGAGGAAGTCAGAAGAGGGCATTGGATCCCCTGGAACTGGAGTTATGGTTGGTTGGTAGCTGCCATGTGGATGCTGAGAACCAAACCCGGGTCCTCTGCAAGAGTAGCCAGTCCTCTTAACTGCTGAGCCATCTCTCTAGCCACAGGAAAAGGTTTTTTTAAAAGTAGGATCTTATCAAATTGTCTCAGACAAAATGATCCTGTAGTCTCCTTACCATAGGCCATGGCCCCACAAGCCTCAGCCTCAGCTGAGGGCCTGTGAGCAGGGCAGCAGGTCAGCTACCACAGAACTACACATCAGCCCAGCTGAGCATGTGCACTGCCAGGACAACAGCCTGGTGAAAAACTGTGATGTGGGCCGGGACACAGAAGCAGAAATAATGAATGCCTAAAGTCACATATATCAACTCAAAACTATATATTTGTTATTCTACGTGGGTACTTTTGCTCTCTTAAACATATTAAATAAGGACCTGAGGATATACCTTAGTGGTTGAATGCTTAGTGGTTGAATGAACAAGGCGCTGGGTTCAAGTCCCAGCAAAACACACACAAATAAGAAACCGACCACTCACACCCAATTTAGAATTGAGTAAACATTTACCCATTCATTACTTTTCTCCAAGATAACCTCCTGAAAAAATATAATTAAGTGCCATAAAAAACATCTTGAGTTTTTCCTGTTCATGCAAAGCTTTGTGAGTCCGAAGACTGCTCATGGATAGCCATGGAGGTCAGTAACTTCAACTGAGAAAGGAAATTCAGTGCCAAGATCTTGTCAGCATTTTTTTATTGAAAGATCTTTTCCCTTCAATAATGGACATCTTACATTCAAACTTTATACAACCAAAATCTCAAAATAATATTAAAATCACACTAAGGAATTTGAATGAAGTCACTACTTAACTTTGCTCTTGGTAAAAATATTGCAAGACACTTGTAGCTAAATGTTGCTGCTTTAAAATAAGCAAACTAAACATCACAAGAAGAGACGATGAACACATAACTATAGATTTGTAGATAAGTGGCTAAATGATAATTCGATGGTAATAATGTTCATATAAGGAACAATTGCACTTGAAACATTTTTAAAGTAAACAAAAAACTCTAGTTTCATATGTAAGTCTATGAACAAAGGTTAATCACCTATAACATTGCCAGGAGAAGTGTGTTTAAGTTTTTTTTTAAATGCTTGTATATTCAATATAGCAGTCATTCATTTAAATAAAAGTCTTGAACTTTTTTTTTTTTTCACAGAATTTCCCCAGAGTTTGTTGCTCGGAAAAGACTGCAACACAACTAAAGCAAAATAACACTTCATTGGTATTTAGTGCAAATTTGGGGTGGTCTGTAAATGAAATGTTAACCATGAACCCTTTAGAAGTTCTTAGCGGTTACTACAAAGACTGCCCTTTCCTCTTCAAGACTGAGGGATATTTTTCACTAAGCAGTTACTTGTACCATGCATAGGCTCGTGGTATTGAGCCAACACAGGGTCATCTGCTGTTCTTGATCATCTTATTTCTGTATGATTCCTGCCATTACAGGATGAAAGAAAAAGTCAATTTGGAAGAATCACTGTAGCAGTGTAATTCCAGGGCTCTGAATGGAAAGTTTCCCATTAAAAAGTATTATATCAGCGAAGAAATCACTGAACTAACAACTATCTACATATAAGATTTAGAAATGAGTATCGGTGTGAAAACGTGCAGTGGAATAATGATTGCTTACAGTAGCAGTAAAAAATGTTACATTGATTCTTAACAGTCTGAAGGTCCAGTATATATAATATTAAGTCCAACTTGCAATAGTACAGCTATCCACTTGACCACACATGCCAGCTGCTTAATGAAGCTGAGCCATTGTTTCTAGAGAGAAAATGGTTTGTATATGGTAAACATAATCCTGTCATCCTGTAAGCTAGACAGAACAACAGCACATTGCATATTGAGTAAAAGCACAAAGCAAAGTTCTGATGGATGTTATAAAACATTAGTGTGGAAGAAAAAAGGATGTAATTCCCCCTGCACTGGGCAAAGAATCTGCACCTATATTTTGGAGTAAGAATTTAAGAAAAAGGGAAATATGCCAACATCCTGAAATACATAGTGCCAGTCGGTGTGTGGGAGTCTGCTGATATGTCTCGTTTCATGTAAAGCAAATGGAGAGAAAGAAAATACATGTGGCTTTGAAACTGCCAAGTCCCTTCCTTATGTGCACACGTGTGATTAAAAAGGCCACTTAAATTCTGAGATGCTTTTAAAGGTAGCAAGGTGAATGCTCTAAATTTTAAATGCTTCAGAATATCTGACTCTGAATTATTCAATTACAGTAAAGAAATTTTTGCAGGAAGTCCTTTGTACAAATAAGCTACAAATCTTGGTTTCTTGTTAATTTTCCCTAAAGGCCAAAGGGAATTTTTAGACATGTAATGTCAACACCATAAAATATTTTACATAAATGGCTAATTTGGGTGGTAGTTTTATTATTTTCCTGACTTACTATTGCATCTTTGGGTAAATAACCCTTCTCTTCATACTGTGACACACTATATTACACCAGAATCTTAACCTTTGGGTTATATCAGAATTCATCTGAAGAGTTTTTTTCTAAATATATATTCTAAGCTGTGTATTCACAGGACCTGGGAGGAGGCCTGGAAAGCAGGCAGGACAGCACAGGAGCCACTGTACTAGATGGAGATTCTCAGAGGCAGAAAGAAAACTTAAAAGTTCACAGAATTTCCTTCATCAGATCAAATGAAAGCTTTCCTCAGGAGCCAGCTAGGGCAAATGCTCCATGTGTCTTTCAAGAGGGTTCCGGTATGGAAGGGCTCTCATTAGCTGATCATTCCATGATGCCAGGGAGTGTAAGTGTGAGTGGATTTTCCCTTTAAATTATAGCTTTAGGGTGCGGAAAAATTCATGAAAACCAGACATAGGCACAGAGCTGGGAACCAGACTTCTCCTTATTTTCCAGTTACTGCATTTGGGAGAGTGACATTGTGTTTCACCTCTCTGTGAGCCTGTCGCCATTAACATATGCAAACATGGCAGGGTAGTGTTTTGATAGAAAAGAGAAAAGGAAAACAAAACCATGACAAAGATTGGCAAAAGTACACATTCTGAAGTGGGGTGTGTGTGCGTGTGTGGAAGGCCATGGAACAAGCATGGCAGGCTCTCCTGAGGAGCTCTTCTGCAGATTTTGCCTCATGTGGTCCCTAGGACGAAACTGTCTCTTGAGAACTAGGGGGAGCTCAAGGCACCAGAACCCAGGGTTGTGCAAATACACTCTTTACAATAAACATCACCAGTTCAGTTTCTAAACATTATTTTGGAGCCTGTAAAACATGCTTCTTTTTCCTAGCTTGGTTTCTTTACCGCATATAAAAAATAAATAAATAAAAAGGGCAAGAACTGGCCACAGAAATGGATAAGAGTCCTTCTTTACTTAATAATTTGTGGACAGTCACTCCAGGCCTTTGCTTTTCTTTTGGCCAAAGCCAGCCAGGCTGGTTCCGTGGACACAGGGGCGGCATCTGGGGTGGAGAACCTCTTGGTGACTTCTTTCACCAGCGGAGCCGGGGGAGCAGAATCTGAGATCTCCACTGGGTTTTGTTTGGAAGGGGAAGAGAAAGAAATGAGAACCACATTAAAAACAAACATTTTATTAGCAGAATTATATATACTTCTATGCATGAAATGATGTTTGGAAAAAAATATGTATTACAGAACAGCTAAATCTGGCTGATGTGTTGTTCACAAAGTGAAGTGAGAACATCTGAGTACTCGGCATTTTTCAAGAACATAAGTTATTAACTAGTCATTGTTACATCTCGAACTTGCCTGAAATTTTGTATCCATTAGCAAACATCTCCCCAGTTCCCTCTTCAGGACCACGTTTTGATTTATTAGAGGTATGAGATTCAAGCCAGGCACGGTGGTACATGCCTGTAATCCCAGCACTTGGGGGTTAAAGGCAGGTTTATGAGCTCAATGAAGTTCTAAAGCCAACTGGAACTACATAGCAGGTCTGTAGATACAAGTTATGCCTGCATGATACCAAGAACTAAAGGCAAGTTTTGTGATTCTAGACCTACAGCCAGTAATCTAAAGAAATGGATTGGCTAGCAGTTTGGTTGATTAGAGCACCTTGTTTTTGGAGGGAGGAGTGGGGCAGAGGCAGAGTCTCATGTAGCCCAGGATGGCCTTGCTATATGGCTGAAGATTGCCGTGGACTCCTGATCCTCTTGTCTCCACCTCCCAAGTGCTGGAGACTAGAAGTGTGAGCCTCCATGCCTGGCAGTTTGGTGAGATTAATAGCTGGCTACCTCTTCAACAAAGCATCTTCTTCCACTGGAGCCCCAAGGTGAAGCCATGGATTCTGCCAGGTGTCATGACTGTAGTCTTGTCTAATAATTCCTTTGAATTCTATCACTTCTTTTTGAGACAGTCTCACATGGTAGCCCAGGCTGTCCTCAAACTCATGGTAATCCTCCTGACTCAGTCTCCCAAGTGCTAGAATGACAGGCCACCATGCCCAGTTACCCTGCTCACTTTCTCTACTAGAGTGCTCAGGCTTCTGTGAAAGGATTCTCTGTAAGAATCTTAGGTTCAGAGAGCTTGCATCTTTAGTGCCTGTGAGCAAGGCCATGTGTCCAGAACTCAGGAAATACTGACTGAAAAGATCCTTCACAAAAGGCTTGCTTAGTGAGGTGGTGCCATTCTGAGTTGTGATAATCCTTTGGTAGTTGCAGTCAGGCAGAGGAAGGAATGACTCGTAGACTTGGGAGCTGCCAGTTTATTTTGAAAGAAGTTGTCAGTCTAATGTCTAAAACCCTTAATTCCTGTACATAAGGTCAAACAAAGAATGCCTAGAGGTTCTAGAGAAATCTCAGAGTCCTAAGGTGGTTTTGTAATATAAGGGACTCACTTCCATCCCCACCTTAAGTAGTAAATACATTTTCAATACTGAGACCTTTATATTTCCAGACCTCAGCAGCAGGTAGCCAAGACATGGGGAAGCTGTGGTTGGGACTTGGATACTGCAATGGTTTGAGCATGTCCCTTCAAAGTTCATGTGTAGGAACCTTAGTTCCTTTGTGTGGCAGTGTTGGGAGGCAGAAGCCTAGTGGTATGTGCTTGGGCCACAAGTATATTAATGCTTTTCTCACACAGAGGCTGGCTACCATATGAGTTTACCTACTTTTTCTCTCTTCCTTGTGTACCCACTTGCTTATCCACTTTCTAACATGAGTTTAAGAACTCAGGTGGTACAGGGCTTTTATCAGATCTCTGTGAGTTTGAAGCCAGCCTGGTCTACATAGTGAGTTCCAGGTCAACCAGGGCACAGTGAGAACTCCGTCTCAACAATAAAAACTCTACTTTTTATAAATTACCTGTCTTGGGAATTCTGTTATACCAGTTGAACACGTACTAACATAGACATGCCCTCTGGGGAACAGTGGAGAGATGTGCTCTGTTGGTTCCTGGGAGTGCACTGTTCAGATTCATCCAGCCTCCGTGTTGATAAGGAAATAGTCGGCAACTACTGGATCATTTTAGTCTTTACATCTTTTATGAGCGACTGTTGTTAATTAAGGACACAGTGCTGAGAAAGCTTACTCTGTAACGTCAGATAATTGGCAATTTACTACTGGAATCACAGCAGTGGGAATGCCTGGCCCATCTGAGCATAGTCACTAGGACATAGAGAAGCAGCTTCCACTTCCATCCAGACATAGAGGCCCAGGGAGTGGATTTTACACCTTTATCTCAACTTTTACTTTCAAATGGAACAGGACCAAATCTACTTCTCAGCTGAGGCTTGTTCCACTTCAATTTACCTAAACTATCCCCATCTTCCCCAATCCTAGGTATTGGTGATGCCTATTACTGTCTTGTTAAATGTTTGTAAATTTACTGAGCCATTTGCTGTCATGTTAGCACTTTCATCCATTAGCTATGGTCTAAAAGTATTTATACCATGAACGGTAGCCGATGCTATACATCAGAGATCTTTACACTTCCAGAAAACCTGTCAAGATTTTCCCATATCACCACTGACAGCTGGGGAGTTCCTAGTATTCTTCATCAGTGTCAAAGTTTATGGATGGGGTTGTAAGAAAGCCTGTGCTCTGTGATGTCTAAGATATTGTGCTAGCTACCACAGTGCAAGAAATGAAGCATGCACTTTGGGAACCCTGTAACTAAAGGTAAAGAAGAGTGGACCTGCTCTCTACCTGTCACTGATGTAGGAAGGGTGTTGGCCTTTTTCAGCTGGTCTCTGCGCTGGAGCCTGGACACTGCAGTTTCAGGCTTCTTCTCTTCTGCTGGCTCAGCTGTAGACTTGTGCAGGGAGCCTGCTCTGCTGACATGGCTGCTTCCAGGCTGTGGACTGACACTGACCTGCATGTGCAGAGACAGAGAAAGCATCTTTTCAGTCTATGACATGGAAAAACTGACTGACCTTGCAGACCTGAGGGTGTCTACCTGTCAGCTCTAACTTCTGTGCCCCAAGGAGGGCCTGGACTGTGCTTGTGAGCAGTGTGCTCAAGCTAGACCTCCAGTGAGGAACAGCTCAGTGCCAACATACCACCGAGGGAGCACTGCTTTCCAAGAAGAGCCCTATCAAGCTGATTATAAAATTATGTCACAGAACAAGGCTCCTGATAGCCTCTCTGCCCACTGCTCAAACTCACTTTCATATTTCTCATATATAGTAGTCTCCCCTATTTAACTAGGACATAGTCTAATATCCTAGTGGAATGTCCAAAACTCCGAATGTATTATGTTTCACCTTTACAACAAAGGAAGTACTTTACAGCTTCTCTTTGGCTGATGTCCATAACCAGTATCATTACTCTCACACTTTGGGGCCATTCTTAAGAAAAACAGGGGTAATGGCAAACCAAACAGTGTGACTGCAACAGAAGATCTGGCAACCAAAATGTCTACCCAGTGACTTCCGGGTTTGAGTATATACAGTGTGGATACTGGACAAAGAGGGAGGATTCAGGCCCCATCAGGGATGGAATGGGATGACATGTGCGTTCATCCCACAGAACAGCTATTTAAAGCTTAGGAACTGTTAATTCTGGAATTTTCTGTTTAATATTTTTAGATCATGGTTGGCCTCAAGTAATTGAAACAATGGAAAGTGGACCCTCAAGATAGAGGGGACACTACTGTAACTGCTGTGCCTGTAGACTGCAGCTGCGAACATATCAGAGATTCCTTCAAATCAGGTTCACCTAGGAGCATAATGAAACTAAATCAAATGTTATACTGAAAATGCTTCCCTGATTTTATAGGTGGCCAGTTTACATCTCTGCCCTGCATAACCTCCAGTTAGCATCTTTAAAAAAATTCTTATGGCCTAGAGAAGAGCTAAGCTTAGGATGACAAAATTAAAAACGGCAAAAAAGAGCAGCTACTCACATTTTCTCTGGAGAGCTTTTCTGCCTGTTTGGCGTCCCGCGCTTGCTTCCTCTCCTCTCGAGTTGCTTGCTGCTCACGAAACCCCTTTTGCTTTTGCAGTGCTAATGTTATCCACAGTGGCTGGGCAGTTTCAACTTTCTCCATGAGTTTGGAGCCATCTAAGGAGTGCCTGCTCTGAAGCACAGGCTTCTCTATGGAGGAAAAAGACAATGCAGCGATTAGCAGTTAATTTAACTCCTGTCTCTGTAAAGCTCAGGACATATTAATAGGCTTATGAAATCTATGCTGCTGTTCAAGGGATTCCACTGGGTGGGAAGCAAACATCTTTGATTAACAGAAAAACGGGCATTTCTCTTGCCTAGAAATAGAATTACTTTACAAGAAAATAAAATCTCCAGTGTGACAAAAATTCATATTTACAGGAGACAGGAGATCTGGGTACATGGTTCATTGCTTTAGTGAGATTTACTTTTAGCAATGGAAGCTTTCTTCCCAAACAACATCTTATATGTAACCCCAATGCTTGCAAAACAAAAAAGAGGTGCTGCTTTCTTAATTCAGCTGCTTGAGGGCAAGGCTCCAAGGAATACAGTAAGAACTCCCATCACTGTCAACCAATACTCGCATCTGAAAATTAGTCCATAGTAAACAAGGTGAGTTCAAGGCCAGCCTGGACTACATAACAAGACCTTATCTCAACAAACAAAACAAAAAACAGATCCTGGTACTTAGAATATTTAGAACAGTGCTTGGCATATACTAATCACTTCACAAAAGTGAGTGGTAACTATTATTTATGCCTATGACAAAAGTCCCCTTTCTTTTCCCTTAGGTAAAAAACACATACTTTCAGAGATAATTGTTCTAGTATTGAATTTTTGACTATCTCAAAAGAAAAGGACTCACTATATTCCTGTTCTTTAGGAATCCAACAGAAGCTTACACTTCAATAGTGTAGACTCTTAACCACCGGGTGGTATGGGGCGGGGGGCTCTCAGTCAACTGGGCTTGAAAGTACACTCCAGGATAAGGAGAAAAGACTAAATGATGAGACAAGCTGGAGTCAAGAATTCAAGCCAAAATCATGGCAGTTTCTGCCTTTTCTTTTCTCTTACAGCAATGAAGAAGTGCAGAAACCAGAAGTCCAACCAGAGTGAAACAAAATAACAAAGCAAAGACAAGATTTGGTTATTGGCAAAACTGAGAAGATGAATGCTCATTGGTTAACTAGAATACAGCAACAAAAAGGGAATCTAAATAATTAAAGGAGTTCTGGAAGCATGATGTAGAGATCAGATTCAGTCATAGATAGCTGAGTCCACTACAAAGGCAGGCCAGTGCCTGAAACATCTCTGCCATGTTTTCACACTAGGAGCACAGAGGAGGTATATTGCCATTATTTAATGAAGCTGACAGACAGATTCCTGCCACTTCCATGCAAGGCATCAAAGATGACAAGCTCATCCATGCCAAAGAGTGTATATTTAGGACCTTTAAAACCTGAGGAGCTTCAAAACCCGGGCAGCTTTCACATTATATGAAGGGGGAATTCAGACCCTACAACATTTGTATCTTACCATTTATTTCCTAAAAACAGAAAATAAGAAATTGGTTTTTAGGGAAAAGAGAAAGCTTTTATTTCCTGAGAATACCAGTTTGACTAGAACGGCCTAGAATTATGGACCAGATTTTAAAAGAGCAAGGATAAAGGCCTAATTGGTCTGGCTGACAGAATCATAAACAAGACATTAAAATTGGATTCTTGTTGAGCCTCAGCCAAAGAGTTCCCAAAAGCCTGTGACAAAATAATCACACATCGTCCCATATTCTAAAGTACAGGACCACCTACTAGGAACTGGCAATGAAGCGGACAGTCACTTCTAGGACATGGCAAAATTAAGAGAGATGCTGAAGAAGCCAGACTGGAGAGTTTCTTTGGTGACCTCACTGGCCTTGGCTTCCAGAAGACAGATAGATTATTGTAAATCAATAATCTCTGACAAAGGGTATGAATGGCCTACATAATGTGTAAGACAACTTATTGGGGTGAAGAAATTATGATAATTTCTATTTATCTACTTAAAAAAAGATTTAATTATCTGTGTGCATACTGTACGTGGGTATGTGCACATGAATGCAGGTGCCAAAAGAGGCCAGAGGTGCCAGATCCCCCTGGAGCTGGAGTTATAAACAGTTGTGAGCCAACTGATACAGGTACTGAGAACTGAACTTGGGTCCTCTGGAAGTCACTGTATGTGCTCTTAACCACTAAGCCATCTCTCTAGTAACCAAAGACAGTGTATAATACTTAAAGACTCCCTAGGGAAGCAGAAGCTGTGAGGGCTAGCAGTTCTCTTCTCACTTTTAGCATATTGGGAAGTTCTATAATCAGGTGAATATATGGAATAGTCACCTCCTTTTAACTACATGACCCTTTATAAGATGGGAAAATGGTGTAAAAAAACCTCTATAAATTTAATTTACTATTAATAACGCAAGTATCACTGGGCATGGTGGTGCATGCCTTTTAATCCCAGTGCTTAGGAGGCAGAGGTAGGCAGATTTTTGTGTTTGAGGACAGCCTGGTCTATATAAGGAGTTCTAGGCCAGCTAAGATTACATAGTGAAACCCCATAAAAAAAAAAAAAAAACAGAAAGAAAGAAAATAGCCGAAGTGACAAGCTCTTTGCCCACTATGTTATGAAGAAATCAGACAAGTTAGCCAAAGAAAATAAAGTGGCATCATGATTTGCAAAACAGATGGACATTAGCCCAGAGGAACCTTGTACCAGGTGTAGATGTCTCAGGTGTTTCAGCTGATGGTGCTACATATGAACGGAAAGTCTGTGCTTAACATTTTATAGGGTGTTCAGACAAATTTGGTCAGCCCTGGCCTACAGTAGTTGACTAGCAAAGCTCCGGTAAAGGGAAGCAGCGACTAAAACAGATAACCCCTTGCTTTCTGTCAAAAATTCAAAAGGAATCTGAAAACTCAAAATCTAAATACTGGGGAGGAAAACAGAGCATCAATAGTTTGAGAGAGAAAATGAGCTTTCCTTCCTGGAGGAGGGATAAGGCCAGTGACAGAGCAGACTAGGCTGAGAGGGACTCTGCAGATACCTTGAAAGCCAATGCCACAAAAGGTAAAATCAAAACTGAAAATGAGCTTCTCTAGCAATAAACAGGATGAACAGAAACGACTATGGAGGGAGAAAAAAAAAAAACAAAACTACAGGCTGTTATGGATCATTTAAAAAGAACTTGTTGCCCAGATGTGGTGGTACATGCCTTTAATGCCAGCACTTGGGAGACAGAGGCAGAGGCAGGCAGATCACTTTGAGTTCAAGGCCAGCCTGAACTATATAGCGAATTCCAGACCAGCTTAGCTACAGGGAGACTCTGTTTCAAAAAGACCAAAGAAAAGGACTTGTCTTTTCTCCATCTTCCAGGAATTCACCAAAAAGGAAGAGGGAAAGTGAGGCACCCTATGCATGTTCTCTGGATCATTCCTTTGGCCAAATACATATGAATGTACGAGATGAGTGATATTGTAGACACCAAGGGAATGGGTACTGCCCCAAAAGGAATGCCATATAAACTAACATAAGACTGCCGGAGTCTGCGGTGTTACCCAGCATGCTGTTGGCACTGTTGCAAACAAGCAAATTAAAGGCAAGATTCTTACCAAGAGAATTAATGTGCATATTGAACATGTTAAGGGCTCTAAGAGTAGACAAGGCTTCCTGAAATGAGTGAAAGAAAATCTCAAAAAAAGAAGGAAGTTGAAGAGAAAAGTGCCTAGATTCAACTGCAGCGCCAGCCAGCTCCACCCAGAGAAGCACTTTGCTAGAATTATTGGAAATGAACTGGAGCTGCTGGCTGCTGGAGCCCATCCCCATAGACAGTAACAACAGCAGCAGCAACAAAAGACCTTTAAAGTGTAAAATTGATAAAAAACAAAAGGACTTACTGATATCATGTTGTGCCCTGCTCAAAGTTACTACATACTGGGTAAAACAGGAGCCTTCAGTCTGTGACTTGCCCTAGGTCACTTCATTCTATAAATAGCCTTAGCTCCATTTTGAGTGCAAACACAGAAGCAGGATGACTCTGCATCTCACAGCACATGTAGACATTACCATCTGTCCAGTACTACCCATGAGGCACAGTCCAAGAACTTACTCCTAAAATTTAAAAGATACCACCTGTAAACTTATCACAGTAGACTTGGAACACATGAGCCCATGAGCACATAAAAACCTTATCAGAGGGACTGGAGAGAGATGGCTCAGAGGTCAAGAGCACTAGCTGCTCTTATAGAGGACCCTGGTCCGGTTCCCAGCACCCACAGAGTGGCTAACAACTGTCCATAACTCCAGTTCCAGGGAAATCCGACGTCCTCTTTGGACCTCCTCTGGCATTGCATGACATGGGTGCACTTATATACATGCAGGCAATATACCCACACAAATAATATAAAAAATTATATCTAAAGTTATATATATATCTGTATCTATATATCTATATCTATATCCATCTATATATATATACATATATAAAGACTGGGCCTGAGAAATTATAGATGAAGAATTTATACCCTCACCTACACCTCACAAAGAAGACACCTAACCTCTCCATGGTCTAGCACCTCACTTCTACAGCTCCACTCAACCTGGAGACCTACTTTACTCCTGAGACTGGCACAGCTCAGCACCTCCAGCAGTTCTCCTACTGGTTTATCAGTGTCTTATCTAAACTTTGCAGTGGTTCTCTACACATCTATCAGCTCTCTGCCTTCTAGAAAGGCTTCTTTGAACTTGTTGAACTCTGTTGAGGTAGCCATTCTTTCTCTCATTCTGTGTGTACGCGTGTGTGTGTGTGTGTGTTGCTCATGTGCACATGTGTATTTACTGTGTAATGTGTGACATGAAAGTTAATATTGGTAATTAAGGTTCAAATAAAATAATTTGTGTTTGCCAATGGCCAGCAAACAAGGAAAATGTAAAGGCTGCCAACACAGGCAGAGCTTGTAAATTTATTGTTAATCACTGTACTCTGACATTGTAGGAAGTCACAAACATGTTGTCTATGTTTCTAGCACAGCATACTTGCAACTGTACTCTCTGGTCTTCCATAAAGCTCTGAACACAAGCAACCAAACCAACACTTTTCAGAAAACAAAAATCACCCCAAACCTAAACATTTAAACAAAAGAGAAACAATCACTCCCTAAAAAACTTAAGCAGAGAATTTCTCTGGGAAGCTTCCTGGGTCATGCCCCATACTATATCTCCTACTTTCATGCAAAGCATAAGAAAGATAGTTGAGCATTCTTAGGAGGCACAAAAGTCAACTCAATTGCCCATTTAGCTACTTCCAGTGTTTAGCAGGAAGAGGCAAAGACAACCTGCCTCTTCCTACTAACTGAACCAGGGTCCTTTAAGTGCTCCTCTGAAATTTCCATAGGGGATTTCACAATGCAAGTCAGCACACTGTGGTGAGAAGAATGGGAGACTGCATGTGCACTGCATTTTACACACACTGAGTCAAGGCCAGTGATACAGAGAGGATCTGCAGGCTGAAGCCCTGACCTCTCACCTTCTTGCAGCAGCTGCCCAGATAGATAGGAAACTCCACTTTCGATTATCACTACAGGTTCCTCAAAATAGCTAATGATGCCTTTGATAGTTGGGACTGCATTTCAATTCAAGTTCAATTCAATTTATAAAAATATAAAGGGACCAATTTGGGGTAAGCTTGCCTGGGGAGTGGCAAACCCATCTCTAATTATCCAAGATGCTCCCAGGGTCAGCTCCTGGGGCTCTCTCCGGCACTTTGGGCACCTCCGGTGAAGCACCGACCTTCCATCCTGCGGCTACTTACCTTTTCTCCCTGTTTCAGGAATCAGGGAAGATCTCTCTTGCTGGCTGGCAGACAGAGTTGGTGAAGCAGGTTTCTTTTCTGACACCTCTTCCTCCTCATCCCTCCTTTTCTGGTCCTCTAAGGGTGATGGTGAAGGTGGCTGGTTAACACTGCTCTCCTGGCCCTCCTTGGAAGGCTCACTGGTGAGCTCTGGGTCTGGTTTCACAGCCCGCCTGGTGGGCAGGTCTACCAGGTAGGGCCTGCTCAGTCTGGAGAGTGGGGATGAAGGTGGAGTCTGGCCGGTGGGTTTGGGAGCCAGGGCTGGCTTGGGCATCAGTGGCATTTTGCTTGCTGCCTTGTGCTCTGGAGCTGGGACCTGGCTGCTGACTGGTGAGGGCCCTGGTTGGGCTACAAAAACAGAATGACTGCCAGGACTTTCAGCAGAGTCCCTCTGAGGGGCTGAGGCTTGCTTTCTCTCCTGGAGGAGGGATGGGCCATGCCTGAGGGTCACAGCCTCCGGCTCTTTTTTCTCTCCATGAGTGCTCCCAGCTGCCGGGGTCCCCCCATCCACACTGTCTCCCATGCTGCTGTGCCTTTTCTTCTTCTTCTGTTCCACCTGTTGGTCCCAGTGGAAGCGGAGGGAGTAGTTGGTCCTTCTCAGTTTTATTCCAAAGGGGGAGGCCTTTTCCTCACTCCCTGGCATCACGAGGTCTGGCTTTACTACACCACTCTCGCCATCCAAACTGGTGAACTCTGTGTCAGCCGTACCTTTCTGCGGAGAAGGCAGGCCTGGAACAAGGAAAGACGGAAGGTCTTTGGCAAATTTGCATCCATCAGAGGTGTCTGCTGGCTCCCGGCGCAGCTCGGGACTCTTGCGGGGCTCCGGAGGCCCGGCAATCGGTGGCTGGGGTGCCGTCTCTTCTCCGGGTGCTGGCCCCGGCTTTTTTCTGATACTTTCAGCTTCCGGGTTCTGTTTGGGGGTCTCAGCGCCGCTGTCTGAGAATTTCTGCCTGGCGGACATGATCGAGAACTTGGCGTTGACTGGCAGGGTCCTGCGCAGATTCCCCCGGGAGTCGCACCTCGCCCGGGTTGCAGGCTCGTCCCCGGTTCTGGCCGGGTCTCTGTCGCCGCGCGGGTCGCCGTCTGCGTTCTTCAGAATTCGGGAGCGGATGGAAGCCCACTCGGCCAGCGCGGCCGCACTGCTCGGCGATTCCGGGTGAGGCCTGGCCTTACTGCCGCTGGCCCGCGGCTCGACGGCGCGGACGTCCGCGGGCCGCTTTTCTTCTGCCAGGCCCAGGAGAGACTTGCACGCCGTGTCCTTGATCTGGCTCAGGTTGACCGCAGGGCCGCAGAGCTGCGCTCCGGTGACGAGGATGGCGGTGTGCGGGATGCTCAGCGCAGACGGCAGGGAGTGCGGGGCCGGGCCTGCTCCGGGCACCTGCGGCTCCTGCGCCGCGGGGACCAAGCCCGCGTCCTTGGCGGGCGTCACGGGGCTCAGGTTGACTTTGGGGAAGAGAATCTGCCTCCCTCCCGAGGACACCTGGAACGTGTAGGGCCGGGGCATGGTCTGCCGCTCCTCCACCTCCTGCCACCTCAGCTCCTCCACCTTTCTGTCCTGGTCCGCAGCCGCGGCTTCCTTCCTCCCATCGGGCGTTTCCTCCGTCTGCCATTCTTGCTGCTCAGGATTGTCTATTTTGCCGGCTTCTCTCCCTCCCTCGTCTACAACATCCTCGTCCAAACCTCCCCTCTTTCCAGTCCGCTCGCCGGCCTGCTGGGTGGGTTGCTTCAGCTCCTCCTCGCTTTGTCTTTGCAGTCTGGGTTGCAGGCTTTCGTGCTCCTCTAGCTTCTCCTCCAGGTCGTTCTGCAGTGGGCTCCGAAGGTCGGCGTCGTCCTCTGTCTGGGGCTGACTTTCTTCCTCTGGACTCTGCGGGGCTTTCCCACGCTCCTCCGCTTCCTGCCGCCCCAGCGCCTCCATCTCCCACCTTTTCAGCTCTTCCCTGCGTTTGGCATCCTCCTCCTGCTCCCGCTGTCGGTTCAGTTCCTCCAGCCGCCTCCGCTCCTCCTCCTGCTTCCTCAATCCCTCCAGTCGCTTTCTCTCCTCCTCCTCCTCCTGCTGCCACAACTCCTCCAGTAGCTTTTTCGCCTCCTCCTCCTCCTGCTGCCTCAACTCCTCCAGTAGCCTTTTCGCCTCCTCCTCCTCCTGCTTTTGCCTCAACTCCTCCATCCGCTTTCTCTCTGCCTCCAACTCCTCTTGCTGCCTCTGCGCCTCCAGCAGCCTCCTGGCCTCCTCCTCCTGAGCACACTGCCTCAGTTCCTCCAGCCGCTCCGCCTCTTCCAGCACACGCCTGCGCTCTTCGACCCTCAGATGCTCTGGGTCTTCAGGTTCTCTTGGTGCTTGGTCTCTGCCATGCGGCTCCTCCACACCTGCCTGCTGTCCTTCTCCTGGCGGTGCCTTGCCTACCTCTAGCTGCAGTTGGGCCTCCCCACCTTCCTCTTCCTCCTCCTCCTCCTTCTCCTCCTCCTCCTCCTCCTCCTCCTCCTCTAGGAGCTCCTGCCTGCAGTTCTCCCAAAGCCTCCTCTCCAGTGCCTGCAGCCTCTGCTCTTCCAGGCGTCTCCTCTCAGCTGCTTCGGCCTTTTGCCTTTTGCATTTGGCTTCAAGTTCTTGCCAATATTCTTCTTGGAGTCTTTTGTCTTCCTGGGAATCCAAAGGCTGTGATTCCTCTTCAGGACAAGTGTACTTGTCTTCTCCTGGCTGCCCATTCTGGTCCAGGGAGAACTGACCCTCAAAGCTACCTGGCTCGTTTTGTCGGTCCTAACACCAGGAAGGGAAATAGATAAGTCTTAACTTTTCTCACAGACAACCAAACTTTAATTCTCCCCAGTCACAGTGCAGGTAGCCCTCTTAATCTCAAATGAGATGTTCCCATGAACAGGCTTTCCAGTCCCCTGAGATGGTTCATTTTCATTTTCAACCTGACTAGACTTAGAATCTCCATGGAAACACATCTCTAGTAGTGTCTATGAGAGAGTGTTTCCAGAAAAGTTTAAATGATCTAGGAAGACCCCCCACCGAATGTGGGTGGCACCATTCCAAGTACTAAAAAGGTGAAAGCAAGCTGAGTACCAACCTTCATCTCTCTCTCTGCTTCCTGACTGTGTATGCAATGTGACTGCTGCCTCACACTCCTGCTGCCCTCTTCCTGGATATGATGGACTGTGCTGCTGAACAGTGAGCCAGTTAATTGGTAAAACCCTTCTGTGCTGGTTAGTTGTCAACTTCACATAAACTAGAGTCACCTGGGAGGAGGGAGCCTCGACTAAAGAATTTCCAAAATCAGACTGACCTATGGTCATGTCTGTGAGGCATTTTCTTAATTGCTAGTTGATATGGGAGGGCCCATCCCACTGTGGGCAGGTGGGCTTGGGCTATATAAGAAAGGTAGTTGAAGCAAGCCAGGGGAGCAGGCCAGTAAGTGGCCTTCCTCCATGGTCTCTGCTTCAGCTCCTGCCTGGGCTTCTCCCAATGACAGACTGCCAGCTGTAAGCCAAATAAACACTTTCCTCCCAAAGTTAGTTTTGGTCAGTATTTTATCACAGCAACAGAGATGCAAACTCTGACTTTCCTTAAGTTACTTTTATCAGATATTTTGTCACAGCAATGGGAAAAGTAACATACATACCCCTTTCCTGCCAGGTTTTGCTTTCTAGTTTCAGCTACCCAAGAGCAGCCAAATATTAAATTTTCAGGAACAAGTCATGTTTCAAATGAGTTTTGAATGTATGTTGTTATGATTATCCTATTTCATTATTGTTAATCCTTATTGTATGTAATTTATGAAATTAAACTTTATAAGTATGTATGTATAGGATAAAATTATATATATATATATATAGAGAGAGAGAGAGAGAGAGAGAGAGAGAAAGAGAGAGAGAGAGAGCTGGGTGTGGTGGGCCCACCTTTAATCCCAGTACTGGGGGAGAAGATAGAAGGGACCCTGGGGCTTGCTGGCAAGTGAGCTTCATATTCAGAGAG